CCTTGCCCTTTAGAATGATATAAAATTTGAAATATATTGGCAAACTTTTCTTCGAACAGTGTTCGGAGAAATTCGAAGTAAATCGAAATAATCTAAGAAAAACCCTACGAGTAAATGTTTTTTTCATTATTACCATCGTGTAGAGCATCTATTTATTATAGTTGTAATCCAAATTTTCAAAAAAATATACTGAGTAGTTTTCAAGATAAGATTTTTTGCAGTTGTGGTTTGCTATCAAGCATTGCTCCATATAGGAGAAATGCATGTTAATCTTACTTAAAATTGCATGTTTATAAAAATATTTGTTTTAAGACTCTTGTTTGCTTAAAAATGGTCAATTGCACCTTTTTTGTTCTAATTACAATAAACAAAAACTGTTTGTTTACTTAAAACAAATAAAGAGTACATGCGTACTAATTAAAGCAAATAAAGAGTTTTTTTGTTGTAAAAATGACCACTGATTATTGAGGTAAGAGGATTTAGAAGTTTAAGGCAGGAGCCTTAAATATAAGGGCAAATCTTTTTCAAATCAAATCACTTTCCATTCAGATTTCGACTTGTTCACTTTGTTCTAGCTTTCTAAACTTTTTTTGAAAATGTTCTGAGCAAATGCTTTCTCATCACTTTCAAGTGATGTTAAATGCAATAAGTCACCTGATTTATTTTGTTGGTACATTCTACGATTACCTTCAGTTAGCTGATAGGTAGTAGTTGTTGTGATAACAGTTGCACACGAAGCAACTGACTTATTGCATTCAACATCAGTAGTGATAAAAAAAAGTGATGAACAAGAAAAAAGAAAAAAAAAGAAAAAAGTGATGAAAAAGCATTTGCTGAGAACATTTTTAAAAAAAGTTCAGAAAGCTAGAACAAAGTGAACAGGTTGGAATCTGAATGGAAAGTCATTTAATTTGAAAAAGATTTGTTCTTATATTTAAAGCTACTGCTTATTGCTTAATGATCAGTGAAAAAAACTCTTTATTTTCTTTAATTAGTAGGTACGCAGGTACTCTTTGTTTGTTTTAAGTAAAGAAACAGTTTTTTGTTTATTCTAATAAGAACAAAGAAGGTGCAATTGACCATTTTTAAGCAAAAAAAGAGTCTTAAAACAAATACTTTTATAAAAATGCAATTTTAAGTAAGATTAACATGCATTTCTCCCATTATGGCGCAATACCTGAATAGCAAACCTTAACTTCAAAAAATCATATCTTAAAAACTACTCAGTATATTATTTTAAAAATTTGGATTCTTACTAATAAAAAGATGCTCTACACGATGGTGACAAAAGAAATTATTCGTAGGACGAACAAAATGATATAAAATTTGTCAAGTTGTCACGACATGACTTTTTTTGTCGCCCTGTGTTATATAAAATAATAAATTTATACACTGTGTACAATATTAATTTTTCATCTTAATCATAATATGAAGACAATTAGTCCTAGGTTGCTAAGTCTGATTTCTGGGACGATTTTACATAATGCCTAAATCTACCTATTGTCAGTTTCATGTGGAATAATAGACCAAAATTTAATAACACGTCCTCACTTCCTCTCATTGAAAATCTCAAAAACACAACTCGGTGTAAATTGCGCATGAAACACAACCGATTCGATCAACAGATATCTGAAGAACACTTCCCATTTCGAGCGGATGTTGCAAATTACATAATCCGAAAACGATGGAGAAAACATCGCAATCCAGCAGTTCGTTGTCCTTCATCGATTACTCTTTGAAAATCCGAATGCCACTGTCTTTTACTTCGACAAAGTACCTGCCATTCAGGATGCAAGCTTGGATTAGCGATAGTAAACATCGCTAAAGTGGCAGGCCATGAATGAGTATTGTTAGAGTCGTAATGATAGGTTCAGTTCCAGACACAATAGTACCTGATTACATGAACAGGGCGTAATTGCGGGGTAGCCTTCTTAAGGGGATGTATACATGAAAAATTATGTAGTGTTTCATAATGTAAGGAGGGGCCGTTTATGTATCTATTCTTCAGGTATAGGTATAAGTTTTTTGAAAAAAAAAATGTCTGCATGGGACTTCAGTGGCAGTGAAGGGTTTTACATAGAAGAACGAGTGCAAAGACGATTGTTGTCAACAGCAACACTCGGAACCACTTGACGTAATGCGAGCTCTTTGATTATATTATGATAATAGAGCGGCGGTGGCGTCGGTCCGACTTGGAGCACGCTCTACTCCTCTATAAGAGCTCTCTAGCACCGCTCCCAACAACCTTTGATGACCCGTCCAGAGAACTGACCGTCGGCGAGGGGCTCTCCATGATGCAAGCCAGTTTTCGCTCTTACACAATTGATAATAACAAACATTCTTGAAATGTTCTTTGACCAACTGGTTCATTTCTACTTCTAAACTTTATTATTTATAATTTAAATCATTTCTAACACATACAAAAGAAACTTTTGAAACTAATTTTGTAGCTCATTAAACCATAAACTTTTTGATGGCACTTAGGTGTTTTATTTTAATACGAATAAAGAAATGTAAAAACACATACATACAGGGTGACCCAGGGGTGCGTGCATGCTCAACAACTTTTTTCTATCGAAGTTATCGACATGATTTTTTTTTAAAGGATAGCTACAACAAATAGGCACATTATAAAAATATTTCTATTCATATACAGGATGTCCCAAATAAGATACACAACTAAATCCCGTTTTTTTAAATGAAAACCCCAATTTTTTATTACATTTCTGGATTCGCCACTAAATTGTCAATATAACGCATCTTGGTTTCTTAGACTTACCTGCAATAGTTTTTGACTTATGCCAATTTATGTGTCAAATTTACATCGTGCATTGTCCCACAAAAAAATTCATAACGTCAAAACTATTCAAGATAATTTAACCAATTTTTTTCCTGTGGATTCCTTAAGCTTTAGCGCGTCTTCTGAGATAAAGACAAACTCGGAGTCGATGTTCCATCTCGTACTACGATTTTTTGAAAATGACAAAATACAAATGGCAATAACTCGACTTTTTCAAATACAACACTCTATATTTTATTGCATCATTGCATGGTATTTTTTATTAGCTCTTTGTCGATATAGGATTCATGGGGTCTACTTTGTAAAATTTATGAGATTTTTGCAAAATAAGTAATGTAGATGGTTTTATTCTGAAAAAAAAATCGAGTAGGCCGTTATCGTTTGACACCTCTATGCAATTCTGAAAAAAATGTGTTTCAATAAAATGAAATTGTAATAGAACCAGGAGTACATCACAATAAAGGAAACAATCTTAGTAATCTTTACAAAAATAGGAAAGAATGATTAAAAGAAAACAATGTAAAAATTTTGAGAAAAGGTTACTTATAAAAACTGCTCAAATAGGTCATGTTCCACCAAGTCGTTTAGTAAATGAGCTCCGAACTCTAGCAAGCATTGCTCCATCAACTGAATGGAAGGCTTCCGTGATCCTGTTTTTCAAATCATCTGCAGTTTTTTGGACGATTTCTGAAAACTCTTTCTTTCACGTACCCCCAAAGAAAAAAATTGATGGGAGTAAGGTATGGAGATCGTGCGGGCCTGGGAATAGTACCTTCTCTGCCTATCGAACGATTAGGATAGGATATTTCTGACGGTACATTTTGCTTGCTAATAAAGGGTTTCTGTGCTCTTCACCAATACAGTAAACCATATTCACTAATTCTTCACGAGTGAAATTCATTTTTGACAATTAGATGTGTACAATTATTAAAAGTACACGAAAGTGTCAAATTTTACGACAGCATCCTACTCGATTCCTTTTTTTTTTAGAAAAAAACCATCAACATTTCTTATTTTGCAAAAATCGTACAAATTTTACAAAATAAACCCCATAAACCCTACATCGACAAAAAGCTCATAAAAAATGCCATGTAATGATGCAATAAAATATAGAGTGTTGTATTAAAAAAAATCGAGTTATTGCCATTTGTATTTTTGTCATTTAAAAAAAATCGTAGTAGGCGATGGAACATCGACTCCGAGTTTGCCTTTTTCTCAAAAGATGTGCTAAAGCTTAAGGAATCGACTGGAAAAAAATTGGTTAAGTTGTCTTGAATAGTTTTGAAGTTATGAATTTTTTTGTGAGTCCTATGCACGATGCAATTTTGACACATAAATTGGCATAAGTCAAAAACTATTGCAGGTAAGTCTAAGAAACCAAGGTGCGTTATATTGACAATTTAGTGGCGAATCCAGATATCTAATAAAAAATTGTGGTTTTCATTTAAAAAAACGGAACTTAGTTTTGTATCTTATTTGGGACACCTGGATATGAATCGAAATATTTTTATAATGAGCCTCATTGTTGGATCTATCGTTTAAAAAAAAATCATGTCGATAACTTGGATAGAAAAAAAGTTATAGAGCGTGCACGATCCCCTGGGTCACCCTGTATGTATATTAGGTAATATGAATATTATTGTAATTATGTAATATGAGTAATGTATTTGCAAAAATTGAAGCTGAGTACCTACTCAGCTTCAATTTTTGCAAATACATTTTGCATATACACACATACCGATACCTAAATATTATTAAACAATAGGTGCTGCATACTCTTTATAGCACTGGGTAATGTTAATGTTATTGAACAATTTCTTGTTTTCAAATAAATTGTTTTCTTGTTTTATTTTTTTATTGCTGGTTTAACAAAATAAACATTTAATCAATACTTAATTGTAATTTAAGCTTTTAAAGAAGTTTTAAATTTTTTCCAGCTTTCATTTCAATTAATTATAATTTTTTTTCAAACAAACAATATAGAGAACTTTTTTGATTTATATCCTTTTGTGCTTGTATATTTAATTAATCAATGAATTTACCAAACTGTAGTTTGTGAGGAATAGAGAGGATTGAAATCTAATACAGGGACGGACTAGTTTTATTTTAGCCCCCGTATAACGCAGATTACAGTACGTAGTGAGACATCTATGCGTTTATGTCTATTATTAATAAGTGGGTAATACGGAGATCTGTAAACATTTAATGAACTGTCAACATGGCTGAAAAAAAGCTGTGAAAAAGGTTATGAAATAAAAGTGTTGAAAAATTGTAAATAATTTAAGAAATGGCTTCTCATCTCCTTAATGTGGCAAGAATACTATCAAAATTAACTTTAAATACAAATTGTCGGGTTACTAACACGATAATTAAGCTTGAACGAGAATTACCAAAGCAGCCTCTCTTCAACCATGCCTCTCGAAACACGAATTTTTTTAACAAAAGTAAATCTGAAATAATAAATTTTAAGACATTCTCTTAATTGTATTAATTTGTAGTGCCAGCTGAGGACCTTTGGAAAGGAATCACGACTGTAAGTAATGCCGGTAAGAAACGAGGTCGTGGTAAAACCGTATCAAAGAAAAATATTAAGGATTTGAATAGAGGCCAAATTATTGGTGTAGGTGCGTACAGGTTTAGTTATTCGTAATAGTTATTTTTTACTAATAATTTTGTGCAGGAAAGGCCAACATGCTTTGGCCCGGATTGACAGCCCCCATAATCCGGGGGAAAGAAATTGTAGAACAACAAAAACTCCCTGAAGATCCAGAACGACAAGCTAGACTCAATCAGTTGCGGGACCAAATGGGGACGCACCGTCGTGCCAAATTGAGTCCTATTGAGAGGGGTTGGTCGGGGGCGAAAATGCCGGGACGTAGTATTGGCCCACCAGATCCAGTTGGAGAAGGTACATATTTTTATAACTTTCTACTTTTACAGGAACCACTTTTTTTTTTTTTTCTAGATAACTTTGAGGGTTTTGATACTAAAGTCCTGGAATTGAAAACTGTATTCAACATGAAGGGCAATTTTGGCCGTAAACGCCGAGTGTCGGCAACTGTAGTCACCGGCAACAAAAACGGTTTGGTTGGATTTGCCAACGGCAAGGGTATAGAACCTAGGACAGCAATGCGCAAAGCCAAAAATCGCTCAGCACAGAAACTAGTGCACATAAAAATTTTCAGAAACCACACTGTTTTCCATGATTTTTTTACCCAATTTGGGGCTACTAAAATATACGTGTGGCAAAAACCCGAAGGCTACGGTTTAGAGTGTCATAGGGCTATCAAAACAATTTGCGAAGTTGTAGGAATCAATGATCTACATGCGAAAGTCGAGGGGTCCACAAACGTTACTTTTGTTATGAAAGCGTTTCTTTTGGGTTTAGTTCGACAAAAAACGCATCAGGAAATCGCTGAAGAAAAGAAACTCCATCTAGTGGAGTTCACCAAAGAAAACGGGGGTTTTCCAACTGTGTTAGCTTCGCCAGCTCAATGTAGAAAGGAAGATCAACTCGGGAAAGATGAAATTTTAGATTTTACGCAATATTGTTTTGATGGCAGAGTTATCTTGAAGAAGAAAAAGTATCCACCTTTTTATACCAAGCTGAAGTCTTATGAGATTTATTTGAAGAAACAGGAGAAGTTGAGGAATAAGGAGAAGGTTAAATTAGATTTGATTACTCAATATGGCGAAATTAGGAGCTTCCTCACTGAGAAATACCCAGAGTGTAGGCCGTTTAGAAGAGCTAAAAAGGAAGAAGAGCAAGAAGCTGAAGCATAGTGTAAATAAATTTAATGAAATTAAAAATATTTGTTGAAACATACTTTAATAATAAAAAGTAAAAAAGGTTTTATTATAATACCAAATTTATTTAACACCTTATTAATTTTGTTAGAATTTAATGTTGATGTGAATATTTTGAGTCTACTGAAATATTCATTTTTGCGTTTGTGATATTTGGGGATTATCTAGGTAAGATATATAATTTAATTAACAACATTTGCGATAACAATTAATTAGAGTAGCTCTAAAGCCAGTAAATACATTGAAATTAATATTTTTTTGTAATTAAGCGCGCCAGTTCCGCCAACGTAAAGCAACGAAAAGATTACTTGTCACCTGTCACAAAAGAATCAGTTCTGCCATTCGACAGAACTTCCACAAATGGTGGTTTTCAATGGCGCAAGATGTGTTTAGCAAAATGGCTGAGGATCCTTGGTTATTAAACGAAGACGGTTACTTAAATGCGGACACAGACATCAAGGAAATCATTTACCACCCGACACTGAACGTTATTTTAATATGTACCAACAGTGGAATCGTTCGGGTGTTGGATGTCAACTCGGGTGTTGTTCTCCAATCCAGCTATCTCTCAGGTAAATAAAAATCATCTTTTTGTGACGTAAACCGAACAGCAAACCTTTGTAGCAATAAACCAAAACGAAGTAACTTGTAAGTACATTCCTGGACAAGACAGAGTACTGTTTTGTGATGGACAAGCTATTGGAGTCAGATCAGACTACAACAGTGTGCTTTTACTCGACAGTATTCTGCAAAAGCCAGTATCGGATCCCAAAAAGGAAATCAAGCTAGAATTACCACTATCTGAGGTAATTACTGTTTATTTTTTATTTAAAACGTGGTCTTTAAACCATTTTTACATGCAGGCAATCATCTTGAAACAAAGTTTGACTTCAGCCAACGTCAGCGGTATTGAACATGTGATAAATGAATTAACCGACGTTATTTTGAACGCTCAAAAACAGTCCAAAAAGGGTATCAAAGCTCAAAAAGTAAGTCACTTTTGAGGGAAAGAATGACACTAATACCAACGTTTCAGTGGAACACTGTATGTCTCCAACTCCCTTTGGAGATGCTTCAAATGGCTGCCATGAGCAGCGTGTCAGAACTACTTTTAAAAAACCAACACACGCCAGAATTGAGTGTTGCATCAGCCGTGCAAGAACGTCTCTCAGAACTCAGTGGGGAACAAGGGAGTGCTTCAGACCGCAGATCCATGGCCAGCGAGGCTAAACGACGCGAAACATTCACTCATTGGCCCCACATGGATTACAAGTGAGTAAGAGCAACACTGAACTTCCCAGTATATTAGTCTGTAGGTGGGCATTGCCGGATCAAATGGCCCAAGCGGGCTTTTACCACCAACCTAACGCCTCTGGCGACGACCGCGCAATGTGCTTCACTTGCACAGTCTGTTTGGTTTGTTGGGAGCGCACTGACGAGCCTTGGAGTGAGCATGAACGGCATTCCCCCAATTGTCCCTTTGTTATGGGTGAATACACTCAGAATGTTCCATTATCGGTTACTTACGCCACCAACCCGGCTATTGACGCTACCTATCGAGGTGTCAACGTGAAAATCCTCGGAACGAGCACCATGAGCAACCTTTTACCGACTGCAAACGCTGAAGGCTTGATCTCCGTGTTTGACATCTCGGGGAAGATCTCAAGGACACACTCGTTTTTTGTAACACAGTTTGATTCTCACATTTTGGAGAAATACACGCAGGATTTTGGGGTTCCAGGGACCTGGAGCGACCTTGACGAAGGTGAGTTGGGATGAGCGGTAATTACATATTGTTTGATTAGTTAAGTATCCAGCAGAGAAGCGAATAACATCTTTGGCGATTGTGAGTGCTGCGGAGACGACATCCACGCGACCTACGATTATTTGCGGTCTCCAAATCCGGTGTCGTGGAGCCCAGAAATATCAGTCTCCAGTGATTGGAAGTTATGACGATCAGAATAAAAACTTAATGGAGGTGGTGGAATCGGCGACGTCTTCAACAAGTTCCAGTTGTTTGTATTTAGTCGTTTACGACTTTTTGTATAGTAAGGAGAAGGAAGATAAGGATCACGAGAGTAAACCAACTGATGTGAACGCCATCTCCGAAGTATCGGCCTCCAAAACCGAAACTCAAACTCAAAATGAGAACCAGAAAAACAGTGATTATGTGCATCCCGACGCGGTCTTCGTCGAGCATTTGTCATCTTTTTACAAAACCCTCATACCTGGAGAAAGTGACGAGGTGTTTCTTCCACCTCCGATGCTCGTTAACAAACCTCAACATTCAGGCCCTCGAGTGTTACCCATCGACATGCAAATTACGGAAACTGATGCTTCGCAAACCGAGCCTTTCATAATTAACCAAGAATATTCGTTTATGAATGGGCAATTGAGTAGCATTCTCTCGGAAACATTCGAAAAGAGCATTTCCGATCACATCACCGAAATGAAAAACAACAAAACGGCAAAAAAATTGAATTACAGTAGGGCAGTGCAGTGCGTGTCGATACCGGCGCCTTATAAATCGCGACAGGACTTGGAGATTTCCGATATTATCGCGACGCAAGACAGTCGACATGTTCTAGTCGTGTTGAAAAGCTCGTTGGACGGCAAAAGCGTTTTGATACTTTATTCTTTAGACTTTTCACAGAAGATGGTGAAGCTGGTGGAAGAGCCAGTTTTGGTGCGCGAATTAAATAATAATGAGAAGCCGACAGAAGTGAGTATGTTGCCGACGGTGGATAAGTTGGGGGAGTTTGCCGAACAGGGGAAGAACGGAGTCGTGGGAAATATTTTCATGGTGTGTGTTGACGGGGCTGTGAGAATTGTGGAATTGTCGACCATGAAGACCATCTGCATGGCCCAGTTGGAGAGCGAGAAGTTTGTTTCGGCGGCGTATTGTAACAGTAAGTTGTTAAAATGAAAATTATGTGAATTTTTTAATTTTGTCACTTCATTCATAATTACAGACAAAAAAATCTTATGCTTACGTATTGCTTGGTTGAGTTTTAAGAGATATAAAGTTCGGGTTAGAATACTTTTCTGGCAAAAAGTGCCATAACAATCGCTTGTTAAGAATATTAAATTTAAATTTTGCAAAAATGATTTATTTAAATACAAATCGTAAAGTAAAATAAAAAACGGGAGAAAAAGAGAGAGAGAAAAAAAGTATTAAATTATTATCAATTAGTTAATTACTAATTATTATCAAAATTAATAACTATTAATAATGTAGTGTGAAGTTTGTTGTGTGTAAAAAAATATAATCCTTATTCCTAGTGTTTTATTTCGTTCTATTTTTTTTATAATTGAAGTGTTGAAAAACATTTTTATGAAGAAACATAATATTAAAAAAAAATGTGATTAACTCGGAGTTCATTATTCCCATGTTGCATTTAAACTTATTGCAATTCTCTCATTTTTAGAGTTCGTTTTTTATTAAAACAAAAAACTTTATCTCTTTCTGGCAAGGTAAATATTTTTGTAGAAAAACAGTTTTATTGAAATTTACAGAGTTATGAAGGTGTTGTTCACCAATTTCTTAATGGTTGTTACCTGAGGTCAGTTATGTATTTTTTTTTTATTTTAATATAATGTATGGTAATACATTGTATGGTTTCTCTACATTTTGATTGATTTTTTATTGAATACACTTGACTAACTACTCGATACTGTTAAAAGTATTTAACACAATTTTTTCAGGTTTGGAACGCTTGTGCGCCTCAACAGCGAAAGGTTCTCTACACTTCTATGCCCTGAACGACACCGACAACGAATCCTCTGAGGACCACGAGGAAGACGATTTGTTCGGTATGACGAATGACGGTTTGTCTTCAAACCCCGCTCAAACTAGCGACTCATTAGACGGAAGCGAGATGACGCGTTGTTTCCACGATCCTCCTGAAATAATTTCTTTGTTAGACTTGAAACGGCTGCACGCTTTGTGTCAATTCGAACCGTTAAGAGCAGGCTACTGCGCCGTAGTTCCTCCCTGTTGGAGCGAAATCCAGCAGGCTCAAAGACAGAGGAGGTATCCTCAAAGCCTCAAAACGGACTGTGACCAGTATACGAAAACGTGGCGACTGCAGACTGACACGACAACCTGGGATGAGCACATTTTCGAGATTACATTGCCAAGTCCCATGTCGCTGGGTCACGTGGATGTTCATTTCAGTTTGCAATCATCGACAGCGTTACCACATGTCGAAGTCACGCTTTTGCGACAAAACACAAGCGGGATTGGGCATAAGAAAGACGTTAAGTTTGCTGTAGATGAAACCATCACCATAGATATGTTGCAACAGTGGGCCGAAAATCCTGTTATCAGTCAGGAGTATTTGAGGGCACATAATGCCGATATTTTGGCAGGACCAGTGAATATAGCCTCGTGTTTGGATTTGTCGGAACAATGCGGTGTTGTCACTTTGACGAGTCCGAAATTGTTCAAGTCGAGGAATCGGACGTTGTTGTTGCACATTAGGGCTGTTTATTCAAAAGAAGACGCGAATAATAAAACTGCCTCGAAGGGGAAACGCACTGAGAGTAAAGACAAGTCGAGTCAGTGTGCTAGCCACAAAAATGAGTTTTATATGGGATGTGATTGCATTCACGAATTGAGTATTACGGTGTATAGTTCGAAACATACTGAAATTCCGCATGAGAGAAGTCAGAGGAATTTTATGTTGGAATCTATTTCGTGCGTCCAGTCACTTTTGTTAACAGCAATGAATAATTCATCAAATGCGGCCGTGTCTTTGTCACTAGATATACTCACTTGGATTGCTTCAATTCGATTGATTAGGAACAGGAGTAACAATGGAGAGGTGCCTAACCAGCAGATGGAATTTTTATACGTGATTGAGTATAATTTAGCGAAGCTGCTTCAGCAGTGTCTTCTTCTCGGGGAAAGAAGTATTGCACATAAGTGTATGAAGTTAATCGAAGTTTGTTGCAAGTATGTATCCCATGTTGGTCTTTACAAATCAAAATACTTCACATAATTCTAAATGTTCAAAACCTAATGCATGTTGTAAAGAAAGAGAAAATGACTAAATAAAAAATATCGAATGTGAAATTTAAAAAAAAATAGCCTTCTTAAATAATTTTACATGGATATTTTGTATATATTTTAATTTCATTCTTTATTTGTCCGTGTCAATGTTTATAGCATATGCTTCGTATTATTTTTAGTGGTGCTAAGAACATGAGCGAGGCTGGACGCTCCCACTTTGAGTTCAGCATCCTGAAAGCTCTCCTTTCGCTTTTGAACACAATCACCGATGTTCGGTCACCTGGAGGCCTCCAATGGATCTTCGCACTTCTTCTCAAAGTCATTTCGAAGAACGCTCAATATGTGGCTACCAAATGCGTAACACTGTTAAATAGAATGTCTGAGGAGTTAGAAATTCGAACGAATCCGTACCACCTACTTCTCAGGAGTCGTTACGGCCTATACGGCACTCCTCTAGAACTGGAATTGTTTGATATCGAACCACCACCTTATGCTAAAAGTAGTAGTACTTACGTCACTTACGCTACAGCGGTGTCCGGAGACAACGCCAATCAAAATACCGATTTTTTCGAGAATTATTCGTTTAATAAAGAGAGTATTAATCCTAAAGATGTATTGTCAGGCACTGAGACAAAGCTGAAATGGCGAAATTTGGCACCACCGAAAATATATCGAGGGTTAATAGAAACCGTTCCTTTGCATTTTACTTGTGTTTCGGCAAGCGAAGGGACGAGGTTAGAAAGGGCTGATGCGTCAAATAATATCGTTATCAATGAGATACCGTTTTCAATTTCTCCTTACCACGCCCAGGGTTCATTAGACAAAATGGACCCTAGCAAGTTCAAGTCCTATTTGGTTGATTTCGTCGAAGAACCGACAGTCACGGTGAAAGAATACAAAAACGGAAATCCTCAAGCAACCACTTCGAGTGTGGGAACGTGGGACGATAACGGCTGTGAAGTATTAATTGGGGAGTTACCGGTGGATGTTGGCAACCACCTCTTGAAGAAATTAGGTGAGTTAGTACTCAATTGTCACAATTTATGTAACATATTTAGATTTAGATTCCATGTATCAAGATTTGAAATCTTCAATGGAGAGTAAAAACAGCACTGTGAAAAATGTGTGGCAGCCAGAGAGTTTACTGTCGCCGCCGACTAGTAGTAGTTTGCCGTGGCAACACTTATTGGTGACTCCGCCCCAACAGGTTATCGTAGTGGAGCGTATGCATTCAGGGGCTCGGAGATACGTGATTTTGGATTTTGGACAACCGATTTTGCTCACTGATATTCTTCTACCATCTTGCAGTGACTTGGTGTCTGTCAGTATTGACATTTGGCTGAAAAGTGAAGATGTTGATGGGACTCGGTTAGTCGTTGCGGCTGACATTGGCTCGAAGAATTTGGTGTTAAATGATTTACAGCCGACACCGTTGTGTCGATATATGAAGGTAAAAAGGAGTTAATTATTATTCGACTGTAAAATAAATTGCCACTTTCTTAGATCACTGCAGTTGGTCGTTACGGAATGACTACAGCGAGATGCAGAATCCCTATTGGTTACTTTTATGGCCACGTGGTAGTTCTCCCTGAAGAGGTTCCACCAGAATTGTCTCAAAACGTTTCTAATTTGGCTTGCACCGATTTGGATAAACAACTGACAATTTTATCGAAGCTTTTTGAAGATATCAGTTGCAGATACAGTTTAGCTTGTTCCAAATTAAAGGAACTTTTACGACCATTTTTGGTAGCTGATATGAAAAATGCATCTCACTTGGCGACTTACATGAGCATTATGAAAGACAAGGTTCTTAATAGCAGTAACCCTGAACACAGTAAAATCTTCAGCGCTTATCAGGAATCAATCACATACCAACGTCAGTTGAATACAATTCGAAATGTGATGAATCGTCTTGAAGGGAGTATTAGCAAGATATCGGTGTCACCGAAAAATTCCAAAGACATTCCGAGTTGCTCGACTGATAAACTTAGAGCTATCGCTGAAGGTTTGTTGGAAGTGCTGCTAACACTAGATTCACCAATCGATGTCGAACCGGTCACGTGTCGCAAACTGTTCCAAGGATTATGCGTGTCTCAAGCTTCACGTCTGCAATTACTAGCGGCTATTTTCCTTGACAAGTCCTGCAGGACGAAGAGTTACTGGGGCAACTTCCTCGCTGACACTTTGACTGAAATGTTTGCAACATCTAATACAGCAAAATTCCCCCAAGATCGCGTTTTCATCCTATTGGCTTATTTGAGTCGGAAAAGTCCTGAACGAAGCGCCGTCATTGACGCTGGTCTTCGAGTCGTATCGCAAACTTTGACTCCTTTGAGTGAAGATCGCACGAATCTACTTGCGGTCTCAGTTGACTTGCCTTTGCTCTCCTGGCTGTTAATGTATCTTTCGCTTCAATTGGACCTAAGCAAGAACAGTCTTCAGTCGGCCACGAGATGGGATTGGGTGTTCGGGGAAATTGTTGGGAAAGCCAACGCCGAAAGTGCGAAAATTGGAAGCCGGAAGAAGAGTTACAAAAGAATCAGCAAACAACAAATTGACAATTTGGATGCAGCGCAAAAGCTTGTTCAGTCTTCAGCTCAGGTACAGGTTTGTAGTAGAGTGGTGATGGTTGGGGTTGTTAGGGGTTGGTTTATTCTGGGGTTTAACGAATCTGGGGTTCTTAGGCTTTGTCGACGTTGTCAAACCATGCAGCGTGTCTTACGTCGAAGTTAGATGCGGCTTTAAAGACGCAACAGTTTCTTATGAAGAAAGTTAAGTACAAGTTTATGGATATGAAAAATTCGCCGGCGGAGAACCCACTCGCACCGAAAAAATTAAAGGAAACGACGTCAGAACCAATCATTGAGAAGGTTACTGAAAAGAAAATGCCGCAACATATTGATATTAATCATTGTCTAACTGTGGCTAAAGGACTATTGACTTTGGTCCTCTCGATGGACCATTCGAGTAGTGCCGATATGCTGCTGCTTTCGTTTAAGGTAAGTGGGAATTTTTTACTCAAAAATTTTTAATAACGAATGAAATGTTTAAAAATGCTTATTATATATTTTTTGAAATTTGTACCAGATTTTTTTTGCAAAATAAATAAATACGCTATTAAAAAAAAGTATAAGAAATAATGACCATTTAAACAAGTATTTTCGTATTAATATTTTTTAGCTTTTGTTTGGTTAACTTTTGCTCTAAGTATATCTTACAATTTTTAAGATGTCAGAAAAATTGAAGTGGTTTTGAATAAAATAATAAATAATGCAAAGAGAACAGAATTATATTTTTCGACGGTTATTTATTTACTATTATTTTTTATTAAGAAATTATCAAAAAATTGAAGTAACTACTCTCTTATAATATTTAAAATTAAAAAAAGATTGTTTTTATTGTAATCACTTCTCGTAATTTTAAACGTGCTAGTTTTTGTTTTTTTAGGTAATGGCGCGCCTAGTAAGCATGGCCAAAATCAAGCTTGGCCAACTCATGAACCAGGACCAACTCTTGAACTTATTTCGCTTTTGCCTCGCTTCGAAAATTCCATGGGCTCCTCACGCCCTTGCATGCCTCTTACAAGACGTCATGGAAAACGAAAACGATAACGACTCCGGAGCTTCAACAAGCTGGGCCACTAACGATTTTCTTTCCGACGTTGCAAATCTCTGCGAATTCACAGATGACGAAACTTTCGTCCACGAACCTGTAATAACAGCGCCACCTAAAACTGGAAACAACAACAGCCAATTGCCTTCGGTCTTCGAATCCGATGATTCGGATTTGGAGGAAATTGTCGACGGATTTTTAGACAAGGAAACTATGTCGACACCAAAGAAGACGCCAAAACCAACGAATTATTCACACACCACTAATTCCGTAGCGCTAGATTCGAGGCTTGATCTCAGCGTCGATGTATCTGCAGAGATATCGTTAAGGAAATTGATTAATAAAAATACTCAAGGGTTGTTGCAGAGTGTTAACGCGCCCGTGGTTGGTGACGAAAGTGAAGATGCATTAGCGCCATGGCCCACTATGATATCGCCGTTACAACCAGAGTCACATTTGAGTAACACTGCGATGTTGATTCAGTGTTTTGATTCGTTATTTGAACATTTGCCGATGCAAGATTCGTCAAATATTGAGCACATCTTGCAACTGTGGTTGACTTTGAATAACCCGTACAAAGACGACAAGTTTGATCCTTCAGCTGTTGCTCAAATCGTTCTCAAAGAAAGCTCGTTGAAAGCGTTGATTTCGGCAATAGCCTGGACTCCAGGCTTGTCACTAATCACTTGGTGTGTAGCCTTGCAGACTTTGACTTTGGCCTGTAACAGTAATACAACGTCAGACTCTGCCCACTATTGGTCAGATTCTTACGGAATGGCGTCTTGTATAGTCAATCATCCGGATTTTATTCAGGTTTTCATGAGATTATTATCAGGTACTGGTCTTACCTTCATTGATAAAGTTTTGGTGAGTCATTTCACCCAGTCGGAAAATTAAATTAAATGTCTATATGATTTTTCTAGGCAGGACCTTCGTTATGTAAAGCTTTGAACGATTTCCTCGACCGACTTTTGATGAGATGTTACATAGAAAGTCCCCGAAGCAAAGCTGGGAAATCCTTAAAGACTTTATTATTGAAAATTGTGCATCAGTTAGTGTTACCTACAGGGCCGATAGCTCTACGACAAGGGCCTCTAGACGTGCAGTGTAAATTGTTGAAAATTATGTTAGATATAGATTATTTTAACGCTGATATGACTATTGCAATGAGTATTTTTGAGAGTACGTGTGTTTTGGTTCATTCGTACTTTGTTAATGTTGATAAAATTAAATGTATTAATATTGGGGAGAAGCACAATGTGGTGACAACGACGTTTAATGAGATTTTTGCCTGTGTTATGGGGTCAGATCCAATCAAGATGGACCTGCAGGTGTCTACAGAAGTGCTCTTTTTGAGGCTGTTGAAGTTTTTGGGGAAGTTGGTACAGACACAGTTTAGACAAGGCAATGATCAACCGGTAAGTTCAATAATCTAGACTTCAGATTTCGCAATTGCTGTAATCATTGTAGGAAGCAATGGACGTTGAGTCATTGGCGACTTCGCAAACCGACGAAAGCAAAGCCGAGCAAATTCAACAAGATTCGATGCGTAACCGTGGCGAAAATTTCGCCGATGTTGTCCTCCAGTATCACGTTAATATCATCCGCCTATGTCAGTCTTTAGCAGCTTGCAAATCTTCATCATTGTGTATGCTAGCAAATGTCTCGCAAAAAGCGGCCTTTTCAAACCTGAGCGAACCGAGCAATGTCGGAGATGCAGTTTTCCATGTTTTAGCTCTGTTAGCTAAGCGAACCTCTGATAAAAAATTGATATTGCCACCGTTGCTACAATTTTTAGCACATGCTCCTCAACTGAGCGAGCCTTTGCTGTGGTTCCTATTACAAATTCTAAATACTGAAGATGCTATACGAAATTTCCTCAACGCAGGTAAATTTGCGGTTATTAAATGTGAGTTGTCAGTCAATTCAATATTGTTGGTGCTTAGGTGGTATTGAAATTTTGGGCCGGAGTTTTGTAACAAGTAGTAACACCCCGAATACAATTTCCAAGTCGGGGACTATTTCTATAGTTATGCAACACTTCAGTGGGATTAATCCTACTTCTGATGCAAGCACAGCCATCGCATCAGCATCGGCCTCGAGAAAGTTACAACAAGCAACCATCGAAAATAAATTATCATTGGTTAATTTCGCTCCCTGCTGCACTATAAGGTAAGTCGGGTTAAAATTTTCTCAACATAGTTTAAATTCTTGTTCTAGTTGTCCATCTGGAACAGCCCAACCGGCAGAAGTTCTAATCCAAGGAACGGCAGCGACTCATCGCCGGGCGCGAACTCCCCAATGGAGTTACCACTTTTATCCCGATGAAGCTCACACTGAACTCACTTTACAACTCCCGAGTGCTATTTTATTGCGTGAAGTGCATCTGCAGCCACACTTGAGTGCACTAGCGACTTGTCCTTCGGCTGTGGCTTTGGAAGTCTCAGCCAGTGGTCCTTCGCGTCTAGCCCCTGTGTGTCCGCCTCTTCCAACCAGTGGTATGGTTTTTATCAGACTACACTTACCAGTTCCGGAAGTCGTCAATTGTGTTTTGATTCGGTTATACCGGCCACGTGATGCTAACAATATTGGGCTTTCGCAAATCCGTCTCTTGGGTAATTTAGCCTTTGGAGGAAACACCAATCAGAATTTGGCCGATCCGGTCGAAGATGAGTCACACTGTCGCCATAGTTTGGGCTGGTTAAGGTTATTACATCATTGCTTTACTTTACCGACAGAACAGGATTTGGCAAAACAAGTGATATCATGCGCGTCAGGAGTACCGAGATTGCTAAGTACTTGTTGCGAGTTGCTTCTAGTACCTTCTCACGTACTTCCGATTTATTTACCTTGTTTGGAGAAAGTTTTAAGGGAATTGAGTTTGCACAATCTGGAAAATGGTAACAGTGTTATCAAAATTCTGTTGAACAGTCGGTCGAGTATCATAGAACCGTTGAATTTCGCTGATAATGCTTGGCAAGACAGGTTGCTGATAAATGCGACTGGATATCAATCAGCTTGCGAATTATTGTACCAGATTTGCGAGCATCAAGATTCTGATACTTTTTACCGAGTTAAGATGATGCTTGAGTGGTTGCAAAGTGTTGCAGTTGAAGCGATGCAAACTGGAAATACGCAAGGGTGTAACCCTGCGTACATATCTAGCATAGCTTCGATACTATGGTCAGCCAATCAGGCTCGAGTGAGCTATGACTTAAAGTCAATGATTACATTAGATTTATTCGACACAATCTATAACCTTAAAACATGCGTGGAAAACAACATTGCTCTTAAATACTCTCTGGATTCTCTATTGTGCAGTTTGTGTTACATAAGGCCTGAACTTTTCCCCGTGCTTTTACAACGAATCGGAGTATTAGTTCCGAATTTGTCCACCGATCATGATGCTTCAATCTCCGATGATCGCAAAGATTCCGAAAGTATGACCGATGATAACAAACAAATCTTCGAGCTAGATTCAGAGTGGTACGGCCACCTTGTAATGGGCGAACTGTCGAAGCTTAGTCTTTCAAACGAACAATTGGAAACAGTGGCGCTAGTGAGTCGGTCACCTTCGGCAATCCAACAGTTGCTAGATTCTGGTCTCCCGAAAATGTTGAACAGTGCCATATACGAGTTTTGTACTTCAAACGAAGACAATTCAGTCCCAATGGCTAAATTAGAGAACGTGACGGCCATATTGAAGTTTTTTACTGACGTCAGTGATGAGAAGACGATGCGAGATTGGTTGGGGTCGTCCGATGGTTCGTCCTTTTGGCTTGAGTTGCTTAATTGGTTGTGCAAAAAACCGTTCCTGAAAAAATCAAATCTTCAGTCAGAAGCGCACGCTCAGTTGGAGGAAGTGTGTGTCAAGTTTTTGTCGAAGTGTTGTCTTTGTCATCCTAGTAATCAAGCGCGACTGGCAAATGTTTTATGTAAAGTTATAGATTTGCAAAGCAATGGAATCTCCGGCTTCATGCGTCGGCTGACTCTTCAGTTACTGCTCGAAAATGAGAAAATTCCAGTCAGTATTAAAGCGGATGAGACTTTATATAAAAGTGTAAAGTTGACTCAGGCTTACTTACCGGTGCATCCGGCCTTCAAACAGACTTACAACCGCGCTTTACTTTATTTGAGCACTAATACAACTCTAGCTGATATCTTAGAGCAGCACATTTATTTCAACACGACCTACAAGATGGAGACGAATAATTCGAGTAAGCGCGCTTTGCTCAGTAAGAAAGATTTATTCAAAGGTTGGTTCCCCGAAGATTCAGATTTGAGTATGGCTGCTGGTGTTACTGCCAAAGATAAACGTGCCAAAGACGCCAAAAATCAAGCCGCATCGACGCCCCAGTCAAAGAAAAAGAGGTACACGGCGACGGAGAATTTGACTAGCGGTGATGTCATTGGGGGACGTTTGATCAAGTGCGAGGCGTATTCAGACCAGCCTTTGCCTCTGAATTTGAATTTAGGGCAATTGTTGAGGTTGATCGAGTCGAAAGGGACAACAGCGGATTGGCCGTGTATCCATTTAGTCGTTTGTCAAAATAAAAGTGAGTCAAACTGATTTAATCCTGACAAATCTTAATTGGTTTTATTTTTGTAGATGGTGATAAAAAAAGTGAAAGTAGTGAAGTAGATTCTAGTTTGTACCAGCAACAACCTTTCAGTAGTGCCTTACAAGTGTTCAGTTCGATGGGTGGGTTGGCGCTACTGGCTCGTCATTTGCCTACGGTGTATCCAGAGGCAGTGCGGCCACCACTTAAGGAGAAAACAACGTCCGAACAATCAGATTCCGAGTGGATCAAAGTGGAAGGTCTGTTTTGACTCTTTTGTGTTTCAGGACTAATTTTTTTTACAGATTGCGATGACATCTACGAAGACGTCGAAGAAACAGTCGGGACCAGTTCGCCTTCGAAGTCATCAGGACTTATATCAAACGTTCCAGCTCATTCTCTCACTGCCTTTGGTCTCTTTCTCCGACTACCGGGTTATGCTGAAGTCCTTTTGAAAGACATGAAGAAGGCTTTGTGTCTGTTGAGATTAGTATTAGGTGTAACCGACGATGGCGAAGGTGGTGATATATTCCAATCTCCGATTGCCGATTCGCTACCCACGTTGCCTTTTGAAGTACTCCGAAAACTCTACGATGCTACACCTTTGAGTACCGACGATGGGCGTCTCCTTCGGCGCATCAGTATTAATACTGGTGTGGTCCATTTGCTCCTCGCTTGTTTGGGGATTTTTACCCACCAAACTCAAAACAACGAGAAAGAAGGCCAGAAAGACTCAAAAGGTAAAGACGAACGGAACCAATTGTACTGGGCCAAAGGTACAGGCTATGGTACCGGTTCGACTCAACAAATCTGGAATGTTGAGCAAGCATTACTTAAACAAAAAAGTGAAGAGGAGCACGTGACAGTCTTGTTACAAGTTTTGGCAAGTTATATAAGTCCCAATGGGGAGACTGCAGATGAATTAATGGAAGATGTTTTACCATCGTCGTTTCATGATCTTTTGTCCAATAGTTCGCTTTTGCCGGCACTCAGTTCATATCTGAGGAACGATTCAGGTAAGTTCGGGGAGTTTACATAGTATTTTTCTACAACCTCGTTTAACAGTTTTGGATATGGCCCGGCATATACCGCTATACAGAGCGGCTTTGCAACTATTAAGAGCCTTGGCTACTAGTTCGCAACTGGTGGATTTGCTCTTGCCTCAAAAAACCCGCATCAACGAACCTTCGATTAGTTCATTATTGAAGAGCATGAAGACTTGCGTAGATACTTATGCTTCTAAATTAAGGTAATTATTATTATTATTATTATTATTGTGGGTATGTTGTATTTGTCTGTTCGTAGACTCAACACTAAAACAAATACTAAATTCAAAACTAAACTTCGGGAACAACTCGAGGAACTTGAACAGGGTGAAGGTTTGGCGACTTTAATGCCAGACATCCAAGACACTGCTAATTTGGTGTCTAAGGTAACAAGTGGCCTCGCAGACTCGGATCACGATAGTGAAGGTGAAGTTTCCGTGAATCGAGTCATATTTGCTTCTTTGGAAGAGAAATATCTCAAAATAATGAAAAGTTTGCAATTTGGTATGTAGTCATGAGCATACTCCTTCAAGTTACTTATATCGATTTTAGGTTCGTATGAAATGATCACGGAATTGCCTGAAGGTGGTGTAAAGTTTGCGGTATCGCACCATTTCGAAAACAACGCGAAGTCGACTGGAGAACAGTCACATCCGGCCCGTGTCAAGAGGATAGCCCAAGAAGCCGTAACCTTATCTACGAGCTTGCCTTTGAGTTATAGTAGTTCAGTTTTTGTTCGTTACGATACTTCCCGATTGGACGTGATGAAGGTACTGATGACAGGTCCTGCTGACACTCCTTACGCCAACGGTTGCTTTGAATTCGATGTTTTCTTCCCGCCGGATTACCCCCTGTCCCCCATGATGATCAATCTAGAAACGACGGGGCACCACACTATTAGGTTTAATCCGAATTTATATAACGATGGTAAGGTTTGTCTGTCTGTGTTGAACACCTGGCACGGAAGACCTGAAGAGAAGTGGAACGCCCAAACTTCCAATTTCTTGCAAGTGCTGGTGTCTATCCAGAGTCTGATCCTTGTGCCAGAGCCGTACTTTAACGAGCCGGGCTATGAAAGGTCCCGAGGGACACCCGCTGGTACGCAGAGTTCTAGGGAATACAATGCGAATGTCTGTCAAGCCACTGTCAGGTGGGCGATGTTAGAACAAATTTTAAACCCTTGCTTGTGTTTCAAAGATGTTATTTATACGCATTTCTATTTGAAACGTCACGAGATCATAGCTCAAGTGGAGGGTTGGATTAAAGACCTAGAGAATGATATTACGGAGAAAAGGATATCGAGGACTGCGAATAAGAGGTCGCCGTCGGCGAATATCGATAGTTTCAAGAAGATATTCCAGCAGTTGAAGGAGCAGTTGACGAAATTGAAACCACCAGAGGGCGTGGTGGAGGAAGACACGTCTCCAAAGATGGAGATTACGAGTGCGCCAGTTAACGGATTGGAGAATAACGAGCAGGAAATGGACGCAGATATAGACATGGAGAAGATGGTAAAAGAAATGTGCGAATTCGACGCAACATAGATCAACTGTTTGCATTTATTTTGTTTTTACCAAAATTTAGACAATACATTTTTACAAATTTTCTTAGCTTTTCGGTATTTTTCACTCGTTAAATCATAAATACGTGACTTGGTAATCGTATTATGATTTTTATATTATAATTGAAACTGCATGGCTGATGATCAGAGAGTGGTTACCAGTTTTACTTGTGTCATAAGTGATTTTTTTTACAGTGATTCGTAATGTAAAAAAATATATTTTTTTGTATTATGACTTTGTAAATTTCGTTCATTTAAATTTACTGTTAAGACACAAATGTGATTTAAGAAGAATAAAAAATAATTTTGTTTTATTTGGTGACTTTTTTCGAATTGGTACCCCTGCCAAATATAACCAACACGCCATTTTAGTTGCTAGCATACGATGGTGTATTTTGTGCTTTATTGAGCCAAATTACACGATAAAATTTAACCGACGTAAACAAAAACATTCACTTAACCTAAAATACGTACGGTAAATGTGTTACAAAATAACACAAGCATCCTCTAAATCCGGTTTGTAGGTACTCAAATGGAAAATAAGTCGCTGCAGATCGCATCTGACTTGGGTATAGAACCAGACGAAATCGAAATAGTTAGCGTAAACACTATTTGCCGGTTGTGTGGCAGTCAAAACGAGCGTTTAATCGGGATATTCAGTGATGAGGGCATTGGGAATGATCTCTCGAATAAGATTAATCTTTATCTGCCAGTAAAAGTGGCAGCTTCAGATGATTTGCCTTTGCAATGCTGTTGGAATTGTGCCTCAACGTTGTTGGCCTGGCATGAATTGGTTGTAACGAGTGTTGAGACAGACCGCAGGTTTAGGAATTCGCAGTTTATTGCAGAAAAACAAGTTGTTGAAGATGTGGAATTGGATATCTCTGTCAATCCCCCCAGTGATGACAATGAAGACAAAGACGGGTAAGGGTTATTTATTGATTTTATAGAATAGAGAGGAAATATATTGAGACTGCATCAAATTAAACTTTACTGCATCTGGATTTGTATCACTTGGGGAATTGTGTCTGTACAAAAATGGTTTTGTCGAAAAACAATAAAATTTGAAGTTAAGAAATCCTGTGTGATTGGCTTTAGGTGGAAATCCTAGAATTTAAGGCTGAAAAGGAATTTATCTAACACAATTGATATTAACATCTAATATTTTTTTAATTCACTGTTTTAATCAGAAACGATTCTTTTTATTTCAAAAAATAACTGCCACACACTGTATGGTAAGGTTTTTCAATGAAAATATAGTTTTTTATCGTTACAGTCGGTAATGGTTACCCGTATTTTATCATTTCTATATTTCTGTTTATTATGTAGTGTGTGAGCGGTATTTACGAGCGAAATCATCCAGACTTGTACTAGTCCTCTCACTAATCCCCTATATTATGTTGGCAGGATGGAGACCAAGACCATCGTTACAAGTCTGGATGATTTCAGTCAATCTTCGCCCAGCCAGGGATTCAAAAAAGTTCAAAAAGCACCTAAGAAGAAGAAAAAAGAATCCATCACATGTTTTCCTCTAGAAGAAACCGAGGCACCTCTCGAGACCTACATTACGGGCATTGAACAACAACTGATCGATCCGGAATTAGTCGACGCTTCTGACTATAAAGTAGAAATTGAGACCGATCATATTTTCACACACGAAGACAATAAATGTAACGAAGTAAAGACGCCGGAGATAAAGTCGGACGAGGAAGAAGAACGGCCGTATTTCGGATGTCAGTATTGCCCCGCTATATTCTTCATTCGCAAGGCTATAGTTGATCACGTGAAAGAAGAACATGAGAAGGAATATGACAAAAATTATAAAGTACATGTGCCAAAACAAGTGACGACAATAAAAAGAGAGAAGAGAACACATAACAAAATCGATCAAGATTTGATAAACGCAGCTAAGGTCGTTGTAGATGGTCGGATTTACTACAATTGCAAAGAATGCGGAAAAAATCTCCACTCGCCCTATACATACGTTTGGCATATAAGAATACACACCGGTGAGCGGCCTTACGTATGCGATCTGTGTGGAAAACAATTCCGAGTATCACAGGGCTTGGTGAGACATTTACGGGAGACTCACGAGGGTATTAAAAAATTCCCATGCGACCTCTGTGGTCGAATGTTCGCAACTCGACGTAACGTGGAAGAACACAGGAGAATTCACACAAACGAAAGACCGTACGTTTGTGATCTCTGTGGCAAGTCTTTTAAACAAAAAGCGTCGCTTTTTGTGCACAAAAGATCACATAAGAACCACTTCCCGTTCAAATGTAGCTATTGCAATCAAGGGTTTCGAACCAAACCTCCTTTGTTGGTGCATATAACGAGACATACAGGGGAAAAACCGTACAAATGTGATATTTGCGGCAGATGTTTCCGAATTAAGTATGAATTGAAGAGACATAGACTTATACATTCGGATGAGAAGCCGTGGGTGTGCAATGTTTGCGGATTCAGTTTTAGACAGAAACGGTATTTGAGGAATCACATGAAGTCGAATCATATGTTGGTGGCTTAAGATAAAAAAGTGCCGGGTTGGTATTGTTGTTTGTTTTAATTATGGTTGGATGTTTTTACATTCCTTTGAGAATTTCCAGCACATTTGTGTATATATTGTCGTATTTTTATGTAATCTGTGGTAATAGAATAAAGGATATGTAATAAAGCTAAAGTATTGAGTTCCTTTGTTTGTTCCTTTGGCATTACAATAATAAACAATTTTACAATTAAAATAAAACAATTATTTTCTTGTACATGTGCAAAATAATGCACCTTCTTTTCCAGATTAATAAAATACGAAGTCCCCTTATCGCCACCACCAACTGAAACAAAACCCCTTTCTCCCAAACGAAAAACCCACTCCAAAGCAGTCTGCGATATTTGCAATAAAACCTTAAGTCGAACACGCGATCTCAAACGCCACAAAACAAGTTGTCACCCCGACCCTAAAGTAATCGAAAATCGCCTCCAACTTAAAAACCATGCTTTTGAGATACACCAAGTGAAGCAGAAACGGCAGCGAAGGAAGAAAAACGAAATTGTAGCGAAATTTTTTTGCGACGTATGTGAAAAGGGCTTCACGAGGAAACATGACATGGAAAAGCACCGGGGGCGTATGCATGCCGAATATGAGCTGGAGCAGAAGGAGCAGAGTGTGAGGAAAAACAACTTGGCGGTATTAGAAAAGTGTAAAAGTCGTGATTCTGACGGGAAGGTGTTCTACAACTGTGATTTTTGCCAAAGGATTTTCGGCCAGTCGTATAATTTGATGCGTCACAGGACGGTACATACGGGAGTGCGGGAATATTTCTGCCACCTGTGTGGGAAGAGCTTCCGAGTGTCCAACGGTCTAAAGAGACACATTGAAGCTTTCCACAACGGAGTGAAAAACTTCAGTTGCGAGGTGTGTAAACGGACTTTCTCGGCGAGAGCTACACGAGACGAGCATATGAACATTCATACGAACAATAGGCCTTTCGTTTGTGACATTTGTGGAAAGAGTTTTAAACAGAAAGCCTCTCTGTATGTGCATAAAATGTTCCACACTGATACATACAGGTTTGAGTGTAGTTATTGCGGGAAAAAATTCAGAAGAAATCAAGATTTGAAGATTCATACTTGGCTGCATACAGGACACAGGCCGCATTCCTGTCACAAGTGTAAAGCCGCTTTTAGGCTGAGGCACGATTTGACTAGGCATTTGAGGATTCATGAGAAGTTGAATGAATGTGTTTGTAACGAATGTGGGTCTGTTTTTAGTCAAGAGAGGTACCTCAAGGTGCATAAGAAGATACATAAAAGAACAGAGATGGTTTTAAAATTGGAGGAAATTGAAATCAAAGACTAATTTTTAACATAAACTTTGTGTAACAAAATCAACAACATAAAGGCTCTCTTCCTAGGTAGTTTTAGCTTTAATATTATTATTAGTTGTTTTCAAATGATTTTTTTTTAATTAAATTATTATCTGAGGACCGTTTTGCACTATAATCAACCCGTAGCCATCAACAAAAAATTACTTGTCAAAAAAAACGCTTTTCGAGTAAGACATAAATTGTTACTTCTGGATCAGAACATTTGGCGTCCTAAAAATCAAGGTTGAATTTAGCTGTTTCCCCAAAAGTAAACAACCGAAAACGACCTAAAGCCCTTCAAAAAGCATTAATTTTTATTCACTCCAAAATTACCCAAATATCAGTAGACCACCAAAAATTGGGCACACGAAAAAAACTGTTCAAATCTCCCAAAATAATGCAAAATTACCTCAAGAACGCCCTAAAAAAACTAACAAAATATCTTGTTTTTAAACACCCCAAAATGGCTTTTTATTTCTTAACCAAGCCATTTGGCGCATGCAAATTCACTGAAAAACGCCCAAAAAAAAGACCAATGAAATGAATGCGAAACAACCGAAAAAGGCCTAAAAGCCTTGAAAAAACATAATTTTTTTATGCACTCCAAAAATACTCAAACATCTGTAGACCGCTAGAAATTGGGCACACGAAAAAAATGGTTAAAACTTACCCAAAATCAAACGAAGATACCTTAAAAGTAAGCAAAAACTTTACAACAATCCCTTGTTTTTAGACACCCAATATAGCTTTTCGTTTCTGAACCAAGTCAATTGGCGTATCATTGAAAAACAATCGAAAAAAAAAGGGAAAAAATCCTATTACAGAAGTAACAATTTATGTCCTACTTTTTTGGAACAAAAAATCGTACGAGATCACAAAACATTGAACGAAATATTGAGTTGCAGCACTTTTAAAACAGTTATTTAAAAAATATTAATTTCAAAAGATAGAATATGATTCAATATTTATTGAACCAGAATATTAAAAGAATTAAACATGTAGTTGTAAATTAATTAGGAAAAATTCATTTTTCCTTGGTGCATAACAATAGCACCACATAAAATTCAAATTGAAAAAAGGAAATTATACAGTTTATATTTATAATTTAATGAGTGACTCCTCCATTTTGACGAATGACCTCAAAAATTCTGTTAGGCATGCTTTCAACCAGTTTATGAAGAAGCTCTTCGTCCAAATTATTCCACGCTTCTCTAATTGCTGCCTTCAGACCAGCCACAGTTTCATATTGATGATTTTCTTTGTATACCGAACGAACAAGAATTCCCCAAAGATCCTCGATAGGGTTTAAATCTGGCGAACAAGCCGGCCACTTGATAACACGCACTTCTTGTCCTTCTAGCCATCGTAGTGTTTCCCTACTAACGTGAATTCGGGCGTTATCTTGTTGGAACAGCCACTCATTTCGATGAGTATTTTCAAAAAAATGGCATCAAATGACCATCCAATACTTCAATATATTCTCCACTGTTCATTCGTGAAGAAGGAAATGCGATTTGCAGAACACCATTATAAGAAAATGTTCCCCACACCATAACACTTGCACCACCATAATTTCTTTTTGAGAAATATCGGGGTTCTTTTCTCTCTCTAATACGAGTTAAACTCATCAGGTCCATCCATATTGAATTTTTTTTCATCCGAGAATATCATCTAAGTAAAATGCTCGTAATTATCGTCAGTAATTAAAAAATTGTAAGTTTTTAAGATAAATCATCATTCTTACTTTTTGCCAATTTTGATGCATATTGTCTCGTGCAAATTGAAGTCGTGCATTTTTGTGCCTTTGAAGTAGTCTCGAGGCAGTTTTTAATTTCTGACACTTAATGTGGGGACTCTGTTTTAAACTTCTCCAGACAGTTCATCGCGAGACGTTGGCGTCAAATGGCACAACAACTTATTACAATTACTCGCTAAATTGACAATCCGACGTGCAGAATGAGGAGAAATTTTCTTTTTGGGCCCTCCCTTCTAATTTTGTCCAAAGTGCTCCGGATCTCGCAGGAAAGTCATCAAGACCTTATGGGACCGATTAATTTTACGAGCAATGGCTCGAATTCGGATATCTTCTTCTCTTAGAGCCAAAATTTTACCTTTTTCAAGTTCAGTAAGGTAATTACCACGAGGCATTTTGACAATATGAATTAATATACAATGACAGAAACGTCATAAGGTAATGGAGACTCAAATATTGAATAAGAATTTCATAACTGATTTTAGATAATTATTTTAAAAATAATAAAATTTCAACAATAATAAAATTTCAACAAATTTAGGTGGTGCTATAGTTATGCACCAGAGTTTAGCTTGATGCAACAATATATTAGGCAAAAAAATTTATGAAGTTACCTGTGGTTACAAAAAAATTAAACAGAAAGCGCTTGATGTCGAAACAAAAATTGCACAAAAAATCCCATTTAGTACTTTTAGGTTTCTTCACTTTGTAAAAGGAGTATTTCTTGAATATGTGTTTTTATAAAATAAATTCTACTTTATAGTAAAAACTATAATTCTTGCATTTTATTAGACTTTAAGTTTAGTTTTTTTGCGATATTTTTACAGAACAGACCCAGTCCAGGGCGATATAATGGCCATATTTGACCAAATTAAAGAGAAAAACCAACTTATGGTAGAAACACAAGAGAACCCCCCCGAAGCACCTTTAATATGTGAAATTTGCGAGAAATGTCTCAGCTCTAAACCAAACCACACCACCCATATAAAAACCCACCTTTCAGATAACTACTGCGGCATATGTTGCAACAGCTACAACACTAAATTTAAACTGGATGCCCACTTTACAACTCATAAAACGTCACTAGAAAACATCCCCCAACATTACGTAAAGTGTGATTTTGAAAATTGTACCCAAGAATTTTCCTCGAAATTGCAATTTCACCATCACAAAAACATACATCTTAACATTATTAAACTGAAATGCAACATATGCGGATTGAAATTTTCGCGAAGAGCAGCTTGGAAAAATCACAAACGGCGTCACTATACAAGATTAGTGTGTGCTACGTGCGGTAAAATATTCATAGACAAGAAAACTCTGAAGGAACATGAGAGATTTCACACAGGGGAAAAACCGTTCGAGTGCCAACATTGCAACAAAAAATTCCGTTGTCAAAGTGGACTTAAATATCACGAAGCGGGGCATTTAAACGAAAGAAAATATGAGTGTAAAATGTGCGGTTTATGTTTCAATCGGTCAAATTATCTGAAAGAACATTTGAGGAAGCATTCAAATGATAAGCCGTATTGTTGCCAATATTGTCCCACAAGATTTACCCAGTCCAATATTTTAAAACGACATGAAATGAAAATGCATATTAGGTGTGATGTTTGTAATTTAGTTATAGGGAAAGCGAAAGATTTACTTGAACACAAGTGGAAAGAACACAAGTTATATTGAGCAGATTTTATTAATTTTCAAATTCTAGTGTTCTATTCTTTTTTCGAAATGGTCCTCAAGGCTAGTTTCTATTGTTTCCGTCTTAATTAATTGAGATTCGATCGCTTCCACAAAATGACTTTGTTTGTACTCTGGATGTGATATCATTTCTCTAAAAAAATAATTCATTAGGAAGCATTAATTATAAAAAACATACTCAAAAACGGCTAGTATCTGTTCCGGTGTAAGTTCTCCAAACTTTGTGAAAATATTAATGTCTTTAAAATATTGTGAATGATTTGATTTAGGTATCATTACGTCTAATCCCGCACCTGGTACCCATCTCCTAAAAGCCCGACTTACATAAGTATAAACTGGATCGTCTTAATACTTACTCTAGTGTGGGAATAATTTTCTGTCTCCCTTGTCCAAAAAACTGCATAATGAAGGCGTAGAAAGGTAGCAAATTTTTTGTGGCCACGGGTAGTTTCTGTTTGAAATTAATTCGTACAAAATACATCATGTCAGGATCAACTTGGCCGGGCTGATTTATTACACAATGAAATATTTATTGTAATACAAATTACGTTATTACTTACGTAACGACCTAATTGTGCTGAATTTTTGGATTGCCAAGGCAAAAAAACTTGCCGTGGGAATTTATCAAACAGTTCATAATCAAAAAATAGGTTGAAAAATACGGACCAACGTTTGTACGTGTGTAGATTTAAGTGAGGCCCGGCTGTTAGTACCTTTAATTGTTTATAAATTGTTATTCAACCTTTTTTAATGATTCAACTTACAACATAGTCTCTTGGTTTCATAAAAACATATAACTGTATTCTCCCTAGTGTTGTAATAAATGATTGCAAAACCACTGATTTCATTAAAAAACGAATGAAATTCATGTTAGCCATTGTCCCAATGATAGTTAGTACAGGTCCTTAATTAATTTTTTTTAATTTTAGTATTTTTCTCTGGAAATATTACTTACCATCATCCCACGCTTTCGTAGGGATACCTTTAAGTAATTGCTCTACTCTGTTACCATGATCTTGCTTATCTATAAATTCATATCTGTGTAAGAGAAAGAGGTCTTTGGTAAATAGTTCAACACGTCCTTTGTAGGGTTCAAACCTACTCTACAACGAAATTATTTAACCACTTATTACCATAAAAGTAAATATTTACTTTTAAATAGTGTTTAAAATCCGGGCAAGACTCGTACAACCGCACTAACTTAACTCCATTATCAAGTAATTCCCCGCTTATAAGACCCAAACCAGCATTTGTTTCACAAACTAGTTGGTTTTCATTTGTTCTTATATCAGGCAAAATGTGCGTCACAGCCTTTTTTGCAACTTCTACGTCTATCAAATATAAATTATCAGGGGGTGTTAATCTCTTCAAAGCGAGATATTTTTCGGGGATGTCGTCCTTCACTGCATATAAGTGTGGATGCTTACGGAAAAATTGACCTAGTCTGGCCCTATGGGATTTTCTTGACTCTTCTGGGATAACTTTAGAGGATTTTATGGGAGGTGGGGCGATTTCTTCAGAGGTGAACAAGATGTCTTCACATTTTGTAGATTCAAATTTGTTTAAACATTTACATATAGGGGGTAATAACTTCAATTTATGTCGTTGCTTCAAAACCTGTAGGTTAATATTCATTATTTGCTAAAAACAAAAGTTCTATTAGAATATTTGATTTTTTGAGGTTATATATAAGTAATACAGTGCCATCTTGTCGTAGAAGCAGAAAGGAATCACAACCCCGCGGAACAAAACCATTGGCGCGTCATTTAAATAACTTATGAACTAGACAGAGCACGTCCACACAGTGCCTTTGTTTTCACAGAATGTAAAAAATAAAGCATGAAGTAGTAAATATATAACGATTACAATTTTTAAATAAAAAATAAATGTAAAATTCTGGTATAAAAATAATTAACACTATTCTTTCAAAAACAGAAATACAAAGCGATTTTACTGAGTAATTGTAATTTTTTATTGAGCGTTTATCATATTTTTTGCTGTGCATTTATTACCGCCCTGTTTTTTATTTATTCTATTACTAGCTGTTGTCCGCGGCTTCGGTCACGTGGTAGTTTGACATCCACAACTATTTCAAAACGCAGAAGGGCTAAGAAACTTACTAACAAAATATAGCAACACAATTTATTTTGAACTTCGAAGTAAAAATAAAAAGTCCGTCTTTTATAACTTATTTAAAAACCGTAAAATTCTTTTTTACGTCTTTAATCTCAAGGGATAATGGTTTCCTCTCAAACTGTGACACTCCATTCCTAGCTTGCTTTTCTTCGGTGGATAAAACGACGTTTTAAACATGTGTAAAACTTTTGATGAATTTGTGATTGCTTTCATCCCCTATTTGACCCCCTTAAGGATAGAATTCTCCAAAATCTTGAAACACGTGCTATTTTGTTTTTAACTGAACACCCAAATACCAATTTTCATAGATTTAACTTAAAAAAAAACGGATATTTTACGAAGTTTTACCCTTGTTCAACCCCCTTAAGGGTGAAATTTCCAAAAATCCTGAAACACGTATTACTTGATTTTTAATCGAAAGCCTAAATACAAATTTTCAAGGATTTAACTTTATAAATGACATATTTTAATACAAATTGTCATCCCTGTTTAACCCCCTTGAGGGTGGAATTTTCAAAAATCCTAAAACACGTGTTTCTTCATTTTTAACCGAAAGCCCAATTCCCAATTTTCATAAATATAACCTCAAAAATGACGAATTTATAAATATTTATACAAATTTTCATGACCCTTTTGGGGATGAATTTTTCCGGAATTCTAAAACACCGTGTTTTTTTTGTTTTTAACTGAGAGCGAGCCCAAAAACCAATTTTCATGGATTTAGCTTCAAAAAAAAATACGGTTATTTTACGACCTTTTACCCTTATTCAACCCCCTTGGGGGTAAAATTTCCAAAAATGGTAAAATACGTATTTTTTTATTTTTAACCGAAAGCCTAAATACCAATTTTCATGGATATAGCTTTAAAACTTCGTATTCACCACCCCATTTAACCCCCTTAGGGGTTGATTTTCCAAAAATCCTTTCTTATTGGATGCCTTCGTTATAAAAGGTATCTACTGTGAAAATTTGAAATTTCTGTCTCCAGCGGTTTAGGCTGTGAGTTGAGTTGAGTCAGGACAAGCCTCTTTATATACAGGTGCGCCAGAACTCGCGCCCCAGAGAAAAATACCATATAAGGTAAGATAGCAGGAACAAGGAAAAAATGTTAAAAACATTTTATCTATAAAAATTTCGAAGTATGAGGGTTTAAATTTTGCACTATGACTCTATTTATTTCTGTTGGAAAAATTATTTTCCAAGTTTTTTTGTTATAGGCTATTAAAAGAGGAAACAAGGAAGTTATATTCTAAATTGTTATGTTATTTATGTCTTCTATTGGCAAAATTTTTGTACCTTTACTAAATAATTGTAAAAAACATATACAAGATCATCAGTATCATTAAATAGACATAAAAAAATGTCAAATGTCAAAAAAATAAATGTCAAAATTTTTTGACAGATAGAATTTTTTAAACATTTTTTTCATATTTCTGGTATCTAACCTTACTTAAATTTTTTCTCTGGGGCGCGAGTTCTGGCGCACCTGTATATAGATTTTACTGTGTGTGATTTATTTGTGCAGAGATCGCTACTATGCTACTTTGGCACTATGAACTAGACAGTAAATTACTTTTTCCGCACTTTTTTGGTGGAAGCACATTTCGTAAAGCTTCGTCTTATGCCTTAATACCCACTTGAGTGGGTCATGGTCCACCAACAATAGAGGATACCGACTAAAAATAAGTTTTATTTTTTAAATTTATTCCATACACAACACAACGTAAGCAAAATGTTTTTTTTTTTCAGTATTTAAACGTTATCACTGCTTAACATGAACCTTATACAATTATGAATATGAAATGTTAATGATTACTGAATTCTAGACAGCAAGGACCTCAAAAATACATTTAGTGTAAGACGTAAGAATATTCCTATATACATAAAAAAAAATCGTTCATACTTCACATCCAAAATTCACGAACAGAATTTGAATCAAAAATAACAAAAAAAAAATTTACTGCTAAAATAACCCTTAACACACATAGTTTGTGCCTGACATGAGTTACGCTACCTTTAATATATTACTTATCCCTTTATACTTATTTACATAAAAGTTAAACTCTCTAAACACAAATCCAAGTTTACGACTGCAACAAAACTTGTGACATAAAAAAGGACAATAAATAAATATTATATAAAAGATTTACAAACACTTAACATCAGTCCTATAGAATAATACTATGTTGACTATGCAATACAAAAATAATTCAGTCAGATTTATATAATGGACGTTAATAAGACAGCGCACTACGAGTTAATTGAACTTGTTTTAACATGAATTGCTTAAGTTACGCTATATCGATTAACGGATTTAATTAGTAAGCATTATACTGGAGCATCTATTGAAAATATTGTCTTAATAAATCTTTGGTGCCGATCTGTCGTTAATCACTTCGGCTCTTCGCAAGGTTGCCCCTCTCTTGATTTGATCCATGAGCGATTCGTGACACACTTTCGGGTCAGGCTGCAACCCACAAATCAGAAACAAATCACCCTTTTGTACCAACTCACCTGAGCTTTACTGTTGATGATCTGTCTTATTTTAGTTGCCTTGTGCTGCGTCGCTTGAGTGCTATTACTGATATGTTGTTGCGCTAATTTAGCATTCAGCGAATCTAGGAAGCTCTGACCCGGTCCTCTTTGGACAAGTTTGGTCGGTGGCGATTGCACCAAATCTTCGGAATGCCTGCGAGCGGTACGGGGACTCAGATTTGGTGCCAACTTCGCACTTAACGACGCTATAAAGTTGGAATTTACTCCAACCGGCCCTAAATGCCAACACCATTGTTTTAATTAAATTTTTCGTAGCCAACTTACCTGATCTGCGTTCGGCGCTCTGCGACCGGAAACTGTTAACCCGGCGAGTCGCCGTAGGACTACCGCATAAGACTTGCGAGGGTTGAGCGTAGACGACGCCCCCAGATTGCGAAACGTATGAGACTTTGGTCTGGCTCTGAAAAGTGCTCAAGACCGGTCCTTGTTGATTCGTGGGTGTTGTGCTGTGACTTTGATAAATGGACTGGGAAGAGGCCGACATGCGTCTGATGGAGTTGGGGCTGGCTGGGGTGTGTTTTAGTTCGGTAAGGGCTTTGACAGTTTCGGCGACTTTTATTCCTGAAAGTTTTTCGTCAAGTTTTTTTTTTCTACATGGAGAAGCGTACCTGTATGTTTTTGTTGTTGCTGTTGTTGGGTGGAAGGTTCGAGGAGGAAAGCCGGTGGTGGAGGAAGGTTTTCGAGACTTCCCATCGCTGAAGGTTGGGTTGCAGTGGAAGTGTTGGTTATGGAAGATGTGCGGCGGATTGGCGGTGGCGGCTTGTTAGCTTGCATCGAAGCTCGACGAGCTAATGAACTTCGAATCGTTCCGGTCGAATAAATAGCTGCCAAAGTATTTTTATCAATCAAGAGAATAAACTCTACAAGCAGAAACAAACAAAATCGTACTTATCCTTCGCTAGAAATACGAAAAGACTCTATTAATTTTACAGACTGGCAAAGTTCACAGATAAGTCCTATTTTAAAATTTATCTGAGCAAATTATAAAAAAAATAAAGACTCCGAACAGTTTTGGTTTATTTACATATTTTTGTTTAAAAACGGCATGAAATAAAAGTGCATATCAAGTCTCGTGTAGGGTGTAGTAATGTAACCGTTGTTGTGGAGAAAGCAAAAAAATTGTACCAAGTGGAAGAAAACAAGCAGTTAACTTGAACAGACTCTACAGTGAGCGGCAAAATTATGGAATAATCTTATTAAAACTGAAAAAAAATATTTTGTTTTTGCAAAAATGCTCGAACAGGTCAATTTTCTTTTTAAAAAATACACAATTTTCAACTTGATTTATAATTTTACACTTTTTAGTGTTTGAGTAATGAGATCATCGACATTTTTTTTAAATGGCAACCCCATTCTTTTTATCCAATTCGATAGATCTGTTAATTGTCGAAATGACAGCACCAAAATATTAAATATGTATTACATAAAGTAAAATGAGCTAAAAAGTGAAATAACAACAAAAAACAAGAAGTTGAGAATTTTGTATTTTTTAAAAATAAAATTGACCTACCTGTTCCAGCATTTTTGCAAAAACAAAATATTTTCAGTTTAATAAATAAGATTATTCCATAATTTTGCCACTCAGTGTATAAAATTATATCATAACTTGATCGTTCTATTGAAAAAAAACATTTTGGTAACGTTTTGTATAACTGTTAATTAAAAAACTAATTGCTGAACAAACTTGTTCAGTAAAGATTAAATTTTTAAAATCTTGTTTTTTTCCACCTGCATTTTACATTTATTAGAATTAAGGCATATTTGTGAACTTGTGACTATTATGAAAAACTCCTGTCCTGCTCTAAAGCCAATTAATCAAACAACCAACCCCCAACCAAACATAATTGTGCACATGTTGATTACCTGTCATGGATAGAGGCCTTCTTCGTGCAGAATTGAAGTCACTGTTGCGTGGAAGCGTGCAATACTTCATAGCCGATTCGTTAACATCTAACAACACACACACTAATAGTCACACACATGCTAATAAAAAACCCTGAGTTGGTTAAACTAATGTCGTGTTATAAAGGAAACAACCGATAACACCATGCCTTCGTTTTCGTGACAAATGGAAAATTCACACTTACCTTCAGCGTGGGCGGGATCTTCGGCAGTAAAAGTGGTCTGACTTCCGTAGCCGCTAGACGATTCTAACGAGCTTTCGCTAGTGCTGCCATCTTTCTCACCTTCAGTGGACGCTTTCTCGGTGGCGGGCGAACCTATGAAGTCGGCCGGGGGCGGCGGAAGGGACATCTCTTGCGCCTTTTTGGCGGCCATGCTGGCCAACTCGTGCATGTTGACGTAGGTCGGCTGGACAACATCTGGAAAATGGGGGTCAGATGCCAGATATAACACTAAAACCGGTTAGTACTCTTGGTCAAGTGGGCTGGAAGAGACGATGGCTTTTTCACTAGCATTTGTTCGGAGGTGGTTGGGGGAAGTACTCGAACGCCCTGCATTTCCGCTATAGTCTTGGCGGGAACGTTAGGGCCACTGGGACGCTCCAAAGACGAACATCTCTGACAAAATCCACAAATCAATAATAATTTGTATCATACAATTTTTAACTTACAGTTGGCAACGGTGGCTTACTCTGAAGTGATTTAATGGAAGTTGTTGGACTCTTCGGTGGTATCATTTTGTTGTTATTCTCTGTTGGCGTTATGGAAGTGACTGGACTCACCGGTTGCGAAAGACTCTGGTCAGGTGCTTGGAATGTGTACACTGTAAGAGGAGGCCTTTGATGACCTTTTTCATACGCTGCAATGAAATGGGGTGTGATGATACAAAAATGGTGATGGGTTAGAAAAGTGAGTGGGGAATAAAATTTAAAACAAAAAAACCATAAGCACCTGAAGAAATGGTATGAGGACGGTCGTTGATGATGGCCGAAGCGGCTCTTTCGAACTGCATGGTCTCTTGTAAGTTGGGCCATGTCGATGTTGTGGCTGGAATGACGGTTGCTGGGAAGGGAGTGCATGGAGTACTTGAACTGCTACTGTTGCTACTGTGTTCAGACATGTTGGAGACCTAAAGATGCAATGAGAACAAAATTAAAACTAAAGTATGTAACACACAGTGCAGGTGGTCTAGAAATGACGAATAAACTTTAAAAAATGTAGGAAACCATAATGTGACAAAGCTGAAAATTGTAAACGGTGCATGGAGAGAAAAATTTCTTCCCCCACGGAACATGGTAATTTCTTTCGTAAGATTTAATTGCTTACAATAATTTAAAATAATTTAAATTAATACGTCATTTCACCAACCTGTGCAGTGGTAAAAAATAAAAAAAAGTGTCAAAAGTGAAGGAAGTGAAAAATAAAACAAAATGAACAAAAATTTTAAAATACTCTTTTTAGAAATACGTTTTTCAAATTTAGTAATTTTGGGTGAGGTTTCTAACGATTTTTTGTTTAAACAAGTTGAGACAAAAATTACAAAGTGACTGAATATGTTGGCAATCCTGACCCTAATTTTTAAAGCTTACCATTAGAGTACGCTTTTGATTAAAAACAATTCAACAATCTTGTGAGGTTGTACGTCAAGTATTTGTCAAGCAAAACCGTATCCGGTTGCAGTATTACAAATTATTAACAAAAATACTTTCAAATCTGTTGGATCACTTCGTAGTTCTAGTCCCGTTTTCCCTTAATGTGTAATGTTTTTTCAATTCTTTAACTACTCGAAATTTTCGCAGCCCCCGAATACTTTCCTGAACAAATTATTACAGTGTAGAAAAAAAAAGTTAGAAACATTTATTAATGAGAGATAATAATAATAACTGTAAACTCATCAAGACAGGAAAAATTCAAAATGTTAGGCTAAAGATCTATTGTCAGTATAATTTTAGCCTGTAAAAACATTTAAAGCGTCGGCTTGAGTACTCCAAGCTTAAATTTTGATTAAGCATTTTATCAGTTTGTTTACTGTCGGTTTTTCTTGGTCATTTTGCGTTTACCTGAGCAACACTTAACGACGACGGCGGTCTGGGATACAAAGTATCTTGTGACGTAAATCCGGAATCCTGGCTAGAGACAGACATGTATCGGATAGTACCGCTACGACCTACAGGCTGTGGCCGGAAATAAAAGAAAATAAAACAGAAAATAAAACAAAACCATAAACAAAAACTCTGTGACGGCAAATACCTGCGACAACGATCTTTGCCAATGTGGATGACTCGGTGAGTGATGATTCTTCGAACTCCCCGACGAGGAACTGTTTAATGAGCTAATTGAACACATCGATGACTTCCTGGAGCCAAGACTGGAAGGCGAAGACGGCGGTGTCTGAAACGACCATCCGCTGTCCGAACTCTTCAAATCAGCAATGACTTGCTCGGATGCCGGCGGAAGAGTCGAAGGATCAGTTGTATGTTTCTCCAACTGTTGCACGGCTTCTTGTAAGTGCGACATTTCAGTCAACATGGCCACTTCTTCATCCTATAACAGTAGATTAAGACCCAACCCGGCGCCTCCACCACATCAATACTCACAACAACCGGCTTCAACAACCCCACGAAAGTGCAAAATCGGCTACGTTCCTCGATTAAGGCCGCTCTAACGGCGTGTTTTTCTGTTTCTTCGAGTAATTGCCGTCTCTCGGTTACATCCTGGAGGCCGCATTCTAGCCGCTTTTGTAAATCGCCTCCTGCACCTTTTCGCATCTTCTTTTGCAAACGTAAGGTGTCAGTGGAGCGTTTTTTCAACTCGGCTCGCGCTCTTTTGTAATCTGAAAGTGAGGGCTGATAAAGGGTGCGTGTTTGTGGGTTTTGGTTACTACCTTTGGCATGTTCTTTATCGAGATTAAGTACAGTTTTTTTCCAGTCTTCTAATTTTTCTTGCAGGGGAATTATTAAAAACTCCATAATTGTACTACAACATTTTTTTAATATGTGACACAGTGTGAAAGACAAGATTATTACCTGGTAAAAGTTTTCATTCTTGCTTCAACGGCTTTATGCCTCAAACAAATCCTCGTTAAGGCAGTACCAATTTCTCTAGTTGCTCCTAAAACAATTATCGTAATCAATTGCAATCATCTAAACCAATTTAATGTATCATTAATAAATTTAAAAATGTATTTGGAACAATACAAGGTCGTCATGCTTGCATAATTTAATCAATTAATAACATTTTGAATAATCATCTTTATGGAGCTATCCTATGCCCACTGAAGGTCTTATAATGGATAAAAGCGAAATAAAAAGATAAAAGATACGCCTCGACAGCTATGCCCTTCTTAAGTATCGTCGAGTGCACTGGACTGGTGTGCAAGATGGAAAAGGCGATACGTGAGAGAAGAATTGTTGACCTCAATGTCCACAAGACTTACTTGAAGATCATCGTGTGCTTCTTTGTTCAAGCTTGAAAGAACAAAGAACGACAATACATTTTTTGCTCCAGCTCTGATTTTGAGTTCAAGTGTTGCAAAAAGATGCAATTTTTTTTTTAAATTGTAGGTATATAAATTTAAAAGGTTGACGACACTGCACAGTTGCAATTGTAGACGGATTTATTTTATTAGGAGGACAAGTGTATGTATTAAATGTAATATAAAATTTTGTGTAATAAAACTTATTAATTAGTGCGGATGGAAATGTAAAGAACAATGTGAAACATATAAATTGTTCTAATTAAATTATTAAAATTTACACAAGATAATTCGGAAATATGTACATAATTGTACGATAGAATTATTTTTTTAAATAAATTATCCTTTTCTTTATTTACACCTAAAATTGACACCACATATTTTCGCTCATCTTTTTCCATTATGTTACGTGTAAGTCTAATCTCGAAAATACGAAACATTACTCCAGTTTCATTTTCGTTTGGTGCTTGCAAGCAGAAGTTGCTACGAAACAGCCCCCTGATGAACTTGCGCTTGTATAAATCCGCCAATGCTGGGCGATGCCACTCTCGGGGAATAACGCATCCAAATTTAGTTTTATTTTGGCACATTGCGTCCTTGATGGGCCAAAGTTTAGCATTTTGCGAGTCACTGGGCCATAAGGGCGTTTTATCGAGGCACGCAGGATCGATACCTTAGGAACCCTCGAAAAGCACAGTCGGGTCAGTCAACCCACTGGCAACGGATAAGCCACGATAATACCACGATTAGGTTTATTTTCGCTTTTACGGATGCCGCCTTTTTTACAACCCACTCGCTGACATTCAACTTCCTCAAAAGTCTCCGAGAGCCCAATTCATATTTTCATGCATGTGTGCGGAAGTTTTTCCGGCATTATCACCGCTTATTTACAAGTCCAGGTGGCCTTGCATTTTTATCAAAAGAAAGATTTAATATTTATGTGGTGTGGCACGTGGATGGTATCGACCTTAGGGTGCAACGCGATTTCACACGCAACCTCCCTAAGGGGCTGAAAATTGTTTTTGGGTGAAATTGTATCGCGCCGAACAAAAAAGGAAATTATTAAATGAACGAAAGTAAACAAATGGAATCGGACGGAATGTTATTCGACTTCTTTTCACCTTAATTCGATTTTTAACGAGATAATGGCCGACGTTATTGCGGCTCGAGTTGTTTTGTTGATTGAATCAAATAATAAACGGCAAGTTTTTCGACCAATGTTTATTATTATTAGCAACTTGTTACAGGGGTTCCAACTACACTAATCAAAATTAAAGTCTAAACGGTGGCTCGAAAATAACTGTGTTTAGCTGTAACGACCGTAAATATTTTGATTATAGATATATTGATGATTCAAGAAACCGTTTCCACCAATACAAACTAATAAATCTACAATTCTATTTCTTCCCCAGTTCCAGGTGCTGAAATCAAAATTCTCAGCGATTTTCCAGGTGAGTGGCCTGTTGCCCTCAGAGCAGGTGTTAAGAAAGTTGCCAAACAAAAGTTTATACATATGAATGGGAAATTCACCCTGAGAATATCGAACGTGAAAAATCGGCTTCGTTATACTTCACGGATTATAACGGAAACGCCATTATCTGCATCGAACACTTTCGAGACTGTTGCCTTATAGATAGATATAAATCTCGTGCATGATACCGGGTGAGTTTTTAGCGATTCGCGAGAAAAGTGGGAAAAAGTGGAATGTACGATTGTAGTCGGACGCATCAGAACAGGAAATGGCAATGGAGTTGCTTTTTATTTTATTTACTTGTTCTTGCTCTCGCTCGATTTGTCATTATCGCGATGTGTAACCTCAACTATGGGTGGAATGTCTGACAGAAGGTTGATGTCTAATCGAATTAAGGCTTGATTTGAACAAAAACGACATCCGTTTTATAAAAGCTTTTATTTTTTGAACCAGCAATTAGATCTATAAATTGACCTGTTGATAATAAATGGACGTAATAATATACGATCGATGGAAAATTCTTCATCCATCAAGACAGCAAATACAAGCGCACTAAATTATTTCATATCGTACCCTGTTTCATTCCATTATTTTTGTGATTATTTATTATATTATTATGTGACCCGACAAAAGAAGAAGACATTTGTCAGACAATTATTGAAAACATAATTCTCTGACAAATAATTTCCATAACCTCTACATTTCACTGACCCGGCGGTTTGAAATGTGATTAATAAAAAAAAACCTCTAAATTTCCCAATCTAGCATCATTACAGCTCTTCTTATTTATTGTATTGTTATTGTTTATTTACTATCCCTATAGAATTAATCGCAAAAAATGTCGAGTAAAAATTTAATCAATTGTTGCAAAATGTTAGTACAGTGTTATAAATACACCTTTTTACTTTTTCGTCTTGTATCATTAATTAAGCTGCTGGATCTTATCACCTACACTTACAAATTACCGTAAAATTACTACAAAACAATTTTTTTAATTGCTGATTATTGGGAAAATTCAGAACTGATCACAAATTTTACAGAGAATAAAAATCGCAATTGCAATACGACACAAGGCTGGTTTAGATTTGTTAAAGCGATTAAAAGTGGCGGTGATGTTATTATTGTTCTGTTTACAGTATTGATATCTGCACTGCAATTGTTTTAAACAAGCTAAAATTGGCCCATCTACTTGTACTGAAATATTATTAGCAACTACTATAAGAGAATTAATCTTAAAGTATCTAATAGAGGTTTCATTCACATTCACATTATTAAGTTTTTCCAATAAATGAGTTCTTTTTTCAACGCTGAAATTCTAGACAGTTTAATATTAGTTGCTGTGTGATTAGAAAGTTAATATCGACATTGAATGCTAGCGATAACACAAACTGTCATATTAATTTCGTTTTTTTCAAGATATTTGTGTTTCCAAAGATAGAAAATTTAATCATAGTAATGGTTACTAATTTTAACCCAAGTGATTCAAATACACGTCTTGTAAGAGTAAATTTCTATACTTGTATGAACAAAATAGTGTTGCTTTGTTACAAGTTGATTGAAACACTGAATTAAGTCTTTTGTTTTTTATGAAATTTAAAAAGTTGTAATTTTGAACATATTATAGGCTTTTTTTTTAAACATTCGCGTAATCACTTCACATGTTTTCCACCTTTTTTGATAAATATTCATTTACTTCCTGTATTATTTCGTTTGGTACGCATAATAAAAGACCGCGATCAAGGCTATGAATTATTTTGTTTGTGGTGTACAAACACTGCAATAGTTGAGTGATTATTATTATTGCACATATGAGCCAAGTGTACGATAACAATAAACCGCAAACAGCTCGGTCGACGTTCTATTTTGAAGCCTGCAAATTATCCAATAACGAGATAATACAATCAAAAATGAAATATTTTAATTAAAACACTTAAATGAAATACAGCTTGAGTTTTTGGAGCATACATTTGATTGCGTATCCTTGTTAACTAATCCGTGTATTTTTTGGTTAATACTAACTTAATAGAAAGAAAGTCATTCGAAGTAAATTTTGAACGTATTTTAATTATCTCGCATGTGTGAGAATCAGACCGGTGCGGTCGTTCCGTCTTTCTCATTTTCTTGCACAAATCGCCATTATTTTGAGCCATCTAATTATTTGTTGTATTTTTAATAATATTTTGTAGCTTCACTGATCGCGTCCGGTCCATATATTAACGGAAATTCATGTAAAAAAACAACTCTCCGTTGCTCGGCCTGAATGCCGTAAATTTCTTCGGGGTTGTGATTTTTTCGAAACGCATAATTTATGAGTTTCCATTAGGCGAGTGGATTTTCTGGAGAGTGCAACGGCCTCCGACGTCTCGACGTACTTGCAGGAAAATTCTATGTAGGTCAATCAATGTGCAAGCACGCTATTTATGCTTCATTTTGGTCGGATTGTTATTGTTTTGACCATTTTAACAAGTCTTGCACGATCGAAATCGATCGGAAATGCGATGTTCGAGCGAAACTTACTTTAAGCATCACGTAATGGTACGTAAATTGACTATTGAGTGATATTACACCGAGTGGCCATATGCCATGCTGCAGTACCGTAATCAGCTATCATGTGATTGAATGACTTCATTTGATCCCTGGATCTAATCACAAATGCAAAAAATTGTATTTCTAATATTTAGAAAAACACAGGATCCTACAAAAACTGCATCTAAATATTTATAACAACAGTAGGTGTTTATCCATCCAAAAAGAAAATTACAGTTACAAAAAAAGAGTTTCTTTTGCTCACTAGAGTGAGATAAAAATTTCTACGCGTGTGGAGCTGAGACTTCACGTGTCATAACTGTTTAATTAATTTTTCTAAAGCAGTCATGCATTTTGAGAAAAAAAATACTGATCCATTATCTCGTTCAGGAAGAAAGTGTAAGGAAAATTTCTTCCTTCGTGGAAATTTAGTTTTTATTAAAGATATTAAAACAATTGAGTAAAGAAATAGTTTGCCCATGTTTGCATAAAAACACCAAAATTGTTCATTAAATCGGACATTACTTAACTCAATGATTTTAAGAGAATACAAATTCATAATTTACTTAAAAAAAAAATTGACTACTCGTAGTCTTACAAAATCACTAATCCATAAACGTAGGAAGAATGCATTAATTTCATCATTATATGTATAATGTACTCGTATTTATAAAATTACAATCTATGTAGTAGAAGTAAAGCTTCCAAATTGGTGTTAGAACTATTTACATATCTTACCAAGAATTAATTATGAAAAAAAAATCAGAAATAAGGAGTATTTACGCCAAAATTTAACATTTTCCTAGTTTTTTCAATTTCTACGTTAAGATTTTATGTATTAAGCTTTGACAAAAAAAATTGAAAAAAAATCACTGTGGTGCCTAAATCCAGAAAGTACTAAAAAAAATGCTTCAAAGCAAACCTAACGTCAGAAAACTCAATCCTATAATTAGACGCTGAAATAAGGACACGACGTCTCCAAATTAGTGTCAAAACGTCGTAAAATCTGTTTGTTTCCTCGTCACCAATATGGTGTTTGTTTTCATCTGCTCTTAATACGTTGTTAATAAAATTTAGCAAGCATTTAACCTTGATATACTTCCTGAATTCGCAAATAACACGAATCAGATTTTGCTTCCATGCGTGCCAACGTCGCATAGACTAGATTGCCATCTTGACACCTATACCTTACCTCTGGCATTGGTGGCGGAATCTGCAATCTTCTGGAATGCTTCCAAGTAGGCTGTGACCGCCAAGATTGTCGCCCTAAAAACACACAATTGAAAATTTACTCAAAGAAAAAAAAACAATTAAAAGGCGAAATTCAGCCTTCACACTTACTTCAATGAAGAGTGAAGTTTCGTCGCCTTCGCGATTAAATCCTCCCAAAGTGGCATTCCATTCTGAAACAATAAGTCTTTTAAAAAACTCAATCCTCCCCTAATTGACGCTAAATATTCTGAAGCCATCGTAAAATAAAAATTCCTGTTTTGTCACGTTTATTTATGCCTCATCATCTTGTTAAATCCCCCAAGCTAAGCAGTTCCGCCACTGTTTATAAATTCAAAAAATAAACACGTTTCTCGTAAACATTTCGGGTGTCTGAAGGTGGTACCAATGACTCACCAAGAACCAGATTTGGTTACTAAATCTGGACTTTTTTTTGAAATTCTAAACTTGGATCGAAGTAAAATAATTCGAGTGAAAATGTAAACGTAACTCGAGACGTTTTGTTTTTCTGGTTTGGTTCGGCTCTTGTTTCGAAATTTTTGAAGCTTGTATATACATAACGTTGGAAAGTACTTCATTCATAAGCTAAGGCCCACGCGGAAGCTTATTTGGGTTAGGCAAACACCCACAGTCTCCATTAAACGGCCTTGTAACCACAGTTTTAGAGATTGTCGATAACGACTAACGGTTTAACCTACCATTTTTTTTTTTTTGAGGAAGATTTAGTGTAGATGATTACGCACGTCACAGCTTTGGTAAAAAAGATTTTTAATGATACGAATTGTCGCAATTTTGTTATTATTGCTATCATGTCCATTTATTTTTGCCGTTTTCTGCGAAATCACGTACATAGAATTACTGATTGGTGTGCGTAGCGGTACCTTGACCTAAGACAGTCACTCATAAAAGCGACTGTAAAATCGTCGTCCCACTGAAGAACACAATTTTTGAATCGATGTCTCTCAAAGGTGACACGAAAGAAATAAAGAAACAATGAGATGTTTATGCAATTTGTTTTTCAGTTGCAGCGAAATAACGCTGTCTGGTTGTGCTCTGCAAACTGTGACTGTTTTCTTTCTGATAAAAGAACCCACGATGCAATATAAGAATAACAATCATGTGATTGTAATGCATTCCTTGTTTGATGTGCAAAAATTCAATTGAAGCTATTACCAAATAAAAGAGAATTTGATATTGCAAATTGCAAGCCTTGATATTTTGCTTTAGACAAGTATAACTTTTATTACATAATTAAATTAAATGATCTTCAATAAAAAATTTAATGAATTTTAATGAATGAATAAATTTAACAAAAAGTGGTACCCTTTAGGACACAACAAGTAAATTAACAGAGTAATAAAAGGTACAACAATATTGTATGAGGTGTAGAAAAGTTTTGAAATGCTCCAAAATTAAAACACTACTTTTAATTAGCACAAACTTAACTGTGAATTTATAAATTTATGTATTAGGGAGCGCTACTAAAATATAAGTAGTTTGCCATGATATTTACCAGATGAATCGACGTTCTGATTTAATTAATATCTGCTGTGCTAGCTACATGTAATAAATAAATGCACTTGTGTCTTCTATTATTTCTAAAATCGTAGAAAAAATTTTATTTAAATCACCTTCACTTCTTTTTTTCTACCTTATTTTTAATGACTTTTGAATACGAAAACAAAAATTGTACTTTTACATTAGATAACAGACCTGCCCAGAGCCTAGACATCAGAAACTAAATATTTGAATTGAAATTATCTGAACGGTAATTTCTTCCCTTTACAGAAGATCAGCAACTACTAGGTATCTATATATATATATATATATAGCTATAATAATAAAACTGAAAATTAAGACTATACAAGGTGATTCTTTTAGGGCCTACATTAGAAACTTTTTAACTTCTAATGCAGATAGGAATTTGAAATTTTGTGCCCAACCCAAATCAACCAGTCTGAGTTCAACTAAATTATTTTCAAAATGGTTCCGGAACTATGAGAAATTGGCGCCAACTTTGAAATTTTAAATGGTACCCACTTATTTTTATTGCATTTTTGAATTCTCCTTTTTAAACTAAGTAAAATGTACCTAGTTGTCAGTACTTATCTGTTATAGTTTTTGACATATGTCAATTTTTTGGTTAAAATTTTCACTTGCAGGGGTTCATTCAAAACATCACAGCTCTTGAACCCTTTGCAATAGGTGAATATTTTTTTTTGCATTCGATAACCAAAGGTTCGAAGAGTTTTCTAGAATTTTCATAATTGTCAACTGTCAAATTGCAAGGCTAGTATGATTTTTTGAAAATGATCATTAACAAACAGCTATAACTCAGTTTTTTCAAATAAAATGACTCTATTTTCTCAACGGCAATCAAAAGTATATCAATTTCTAGAAGGACTTTTATTAACATGTCCTATACCTATCTCTTACAGTTTTTGAAATAATCACAAAAAACATGTTAATGTTTTTATTTTTATAGTTAATCACGTAGGCTTTGGAAAAATACAATAAAGATATACCATAATTAATACAGATGTTCGATATGTTTACCATTTTCAAACAGTCCAAAACTCGATGGTGAACTAATTTGAGTGGCTTCCATTATTTCATTTGGTTGAAGATTATTAAATGCCGCCTCAATCCTTGCCTCAATTCTTCGCAATTCCGGATGGGTGTTGTGTAGTCTAAAAATCTTTAATACGTATTGATCATTTTCCAAAGCCTACGTGATTTACTATAAAAATAAAAAACAAAAACACGTTTTTCGTGTTTATTTCACAAACTTTAAGAGATGGATATAGGACATGTTGATAAAAGTCCTTCTACAAAACGATGTACTTTCGATTGCCGTTGAGAAAATGGGGTCATTTTATTTGAAAAAAACTGAGTTATAGCTGTTTGTTAAATATCATTTTCAAAAAATCATATAAGCTTTGCAATTTGACAGTTGTCAATTTTAAAAATTTTAGGAAACTCTTCGAACCTTTGTTTATCGAATGCAAGAAAAATTATTCACTTATCGCAAACGGTTCAAGAGCTGTGATGTTTTTAATAAACCTCTGCAAATAAAAATTTTGACCAAAAAATTGACATATGTCAAAAACTATGACAGATAAGTACTAACAACTAGGTACATTTTACTCAGTTTGAAGAGGAGAATTCAAAAATGCAATAAAAATAAGTGGTTACTATTTAAAATTTTAAAGTGGGCGCCAATTTCTCGTATTTCCGGAAGTTCAGCCATTTTGAAAATAATTTAATTGAACTTAGACTGGTCGATTTGAGTTGTGTACAAAATTTCAAATTTCTATCTGCATTAGAAGTTAAAGAGTTTCTAATATAGGCCCTAAAAGAATCACCTTGTATAAAATAATTAACTAATTTTCAAAAGATAAAAAAAGATTCAGTTTGAAATGGAAAATAGATACACAGATAATTAGTTACCACGCCCACAATTATAGAGACCAGAACTAATTTGCAGTAAAGCCAGCAATCACACCAAACTTGCATTCGCTATCAGCCCCGAATTTTAGTAGAGCACACCCAAGCTAATCTCCAGGGAATTCAATATGAGCATTTGTGGAAAGTTAGGACGAGGGAAAGCTCTTCCAACCAAAAAAAAAATCCCGAAAACTTTTTCTCAATAGAAACTCTTAAAAATGTAATACAACAATATGGGTAGTGTAGTTTTTAAACTGCAAGAACACTTTTATTCATTAAAATTATTAACGAAGATTAATTAATACAGTTTATGTGACCTGACACGTCCTAACCCCAGTTTACAGGAGGGATATTCCCAAAGGTCAAAGTTTTTTACCTTTACCAACTATCTCTTTCCTAATATGTTTACATAACAGAGTTCTTAAATAAACAAAAAGAAATTAATAATATCATTCACTGATAAATTGTTCCTTTCGTTATCTTATGCACAAAGCAATCAATTTCTTTTTAGTGATATTTGATTGTTTCCTGATCATTAAATTCGGATTTTCATTTTCCCAAATGACGGCTTTATCTTTTTCATTTTAGTTAGGCTTTACTCGTATATAAGTAGAGCTTGGAAAGCCATAAAAGAGCCGAGTCTATTAAATTGAATTTGTAATCAATCAGCTGACAAACGATGTCGGCTGCATTTTATAACTTTCGTTAGAAATTTTCTACCTTTTGCCTTATCGCAAATTCAGTTATAAGATAAGGTTTATAGGCACGTGAACTCTACTATTTACTGAAAGAGGTTCGGTTATAAATCCCACACAACCAATACACATAAATTGTTCCAACAGAATTTACGAGTGGCTAGATATTTGAAAATTTATACTGCACTGAATTGTACAACTAGTAAAGAATATTTAACGGCGACGAGACACAAGTAATATACGCGATACAAAGGTCGGTAAATGAATATTAATGAACAGAAGTCGCATGACTATTGTTTGTTTGTAATAAATGTACAAGTGATAATATGAATGACAATTTGATGTAACAATAAATAAACAGTTTCTTCTGTACGGATATTCCACCGACGCTCATTTTACATAAATGCTAAAGAAAGTGGTTTCAGTCTCATAAAATGAAAATTTTATGGATTCCATACTATTAAAATTGTCAAACACCATTAACCCTATAAGACCTCTTGTGTTACAAAAATAAAACTGCAAGGTGTTGCAATTCGGAAAAGTGGAACATCAACGGCCAATTTCCGTTGTTAATTAAATTGACAAAAATATCCCAACGTGCATGGTCTAGAAATATTTCCGTTTGGCTTGGAAAACATTGACACCAAGTTAAACTTTCAACGTGACCTGCTACGTCTATAAAAAGAACAATAATTAAAGCGAATTTGATGCTGACAGCACCAGGAAGTGCGGCATTTTGATGCTGTTCAACGATTTCATAAATAAATAACGCTTCCATGAAGAAATTAGGTATTGCATAGTCGATACTTTCATATTTTTTCGACGGAGAACTGGTTAAATTGCCCTTTCAAGAAGAAACAAGCATCAATACATAAGCGTATAAATTGCAAATTTATAACAAAAATTCGCTTATTTACCCCAAGCAAAGCATTTCGGTTTTATTACCAATCACCATTTTTAAATTATGTAAAAATAGGATGCACAGCCCTCCATTTTCATAGTTATTAGGGATAGTAGAGCCCAAGGCGAATTGAAGTTATTTCGTAACTGGTTTTAACTTCTTAATAATTTTTAGTCTAGGCAATTTCTTATCTATGACACGATCATATTCCTCTTCAAATGATGAAACAACTCACGTGTTATGTTTTATCGTTTATTTTTAAATAAAAATGACATGTGTCTCAATTTGTTTAGAACTCGTGCCAGAATCATCTAATATTTTACTATTAAAAGTAGAGTTTTGCTTACTTTGGATATGTTATTTGGCAGACGAGTAATTACCTGTAAAATACATTATTCATTTGTTCTGCTTGCAGTGATACAACAGGTGAAGAAATGACAAAGCCAGATGTAAAAGCTTTCCTTATACGATAACTATAATAAGCAGGAATTTTATTTGGAAACCAAAAACGAGCTCTTCACAGAATGCCTAAATATGTCCGAAAATACGAACACATGGCGTCAGCTTTTGTAGGTAGAACCGAAAAAAGCCCTAAATTATGTATTATAAGTCCCAAAAATACAAACTAATTTTGTCACGCATTTAACCATGTACAACTTGAAACAGATATTATATTTGTTTAAAGTTAAAGTATTTTATCGAACAAAATGTTTGCGAGGGTCAATAATAGCAATCCTCCACTATGGTTGTGAAAAAATATTACCATTCAGACTGACTGAGAACTACGTAACACATAAGTTTTTTCACAGAAATCCTTTCTCGAGGCTTAATTTAAAAAAAGAACTGATTCATAACTATGTAAATAGTTAAAAAAAAAATGGAGAAAATATCTCAAGAAAATGTCATTTTCCAAAAAACAGAATTCATACACTTTCAGATCCAAAAAGAATTCCCGAAAGTTTCTTTTACCACCTTTTACTACAGCTTTTCCAGCGACAGAGTGCATTCCAAATTAACCCAGTAGCCTTTTCTGTCTAAAAATTCAAACCCTTTTTTTAACTTTGTTTTTTTACAGTGTAGGTAAACCGAAATATGATGATTATAATTTTTGATAGATACAATTTTATCAAATGAATACCGATTAAGAATATCATAGTACTTAATTATTATTTATAGCTAAAACAGGTTTTATAAAAATTTTATCTCAAAACAAACACTTGTCGCGATTTAACGGTAAATGTTAACACAATTTTGGATAATCCGTCTAAATTGGATTTTTTTTAATTCACATCAAGTCCAAACTGAAATAAACAAACTGCCCCATTTAAGGATCTACATAATCGTCGACTTTTACGGCAAAAACTGCTTCAATTCCCTCTAATTAAAATCTGGTTTATCTCAGTGCCCCTCACCCATAAATCTCCCCCGTCTTTTCCCATTTAAATCACAGGACCCTCACCTTCATGTCCTGTATTATCTGCTGGAAGAGTCCGCCTAAGGCTCCTGACTCCCGTTCGATATGGCCCTCCATCATTACCACCAAAAACTACCGTTCACTTAACATAGACGCGTTTTTAATTGAAAACAGCGACGATTTCGTACAGAAAATCACCACATTTTCGTCTTTTCAAATGCAAACATCGCGGACATTGAACACACCACTGTACACAAAAAGTTTTTCACTTAAACGCGGTTGAATGATCACGCGAATCGAACAACGGAACTTTTTAGCACGTTTGAAGAGAGTTTTGAAGTATGGTCAATTCGGAAATGTGCAGAATAAACGGATTACATCGCGATTCCCAAACAAACCTCCACCATTACAACATTGCTCTCGTTTCTCGTGTGTTTTCTTTCTATTATTACAAAATCTCCCCTCTCTGGGAAGACTAGTGGCGCCGGAGATACCCAAAGCGGCCGATAGAAAATTTTCAGCTTAAGAAGTTGTGCTGGCATCTAGAGGAAACGACGAAAATGAGAGGTTGAGTAAAAAAATTTAAAGTATTCTACACGACATGTAATTTTCCGCTTAAATTCAAAACAAATATAAATTTGAATAGCTATGGCACAAAATATACCTACTATTTTATTCATAATCACATTTCCTTAAATAATAAAATATCCGTATCTCAGTTGATGCAATGACTTAGTTGCTATGCAAACAAATTAAGTTTTTGACATTTGATGAGCACGTAATCATGGTAATTCTTCATAAATTAATTCGTAAAAACAAGGTATTTTATTAGTTTTTTAGGGCGTTCTTGAGGTAATTTTGCATTATTTTAGGAGATTTTAACGGTTTTTTCGTGTGCCCAATTTTTTGTGGTCGACACCAAAGAACAAGGATAGATGGAAGGAGAATTGGTGCCGCCATATTTGCAAACTATGGGCAGTTGCAACCTTCCGACCGTTGCAACTCGTACTAAATTATGCAATCAACAATACACAATAGCACTAAAAAAAGTGCGTTTTGGCACTAAATTTATCACTGGAATCCAGTGTAACACAGAATTATTTTTCTTTATATAGAAAATTTAAATTTGTGACATATTTGACTCTAAAAAATATAAATGTAGCGTTGTTTTTTTAATAAAGGTTTGAAATTAAGTTTAGAACTAAACTTTCAAAAAAAACGTTATTAAACAAATAAAACAATCACATTAGAACACAAAACCCTGTAAAATAGTGCTTCGTACAAATAAGCAATCGAGAGTTCATAAAAAAAAAGATATTTTGTCACACGATGTGCAATGTCGTCACTGAATCATTTAATTCTGTTAAAAAAAATATTTAGAAAAACATTAATACTGTTAAGTATATTACAATTGTAATTATTAATAAAAAACAAGAAAATTACGTGTATATTCAAAAAAAATTGTTTGGGGTAGGCAACTTTTAATAAAACCGAGAAAACATTGCCTACTTTTACTACCAGTTAAAATCTGCCAACACATACAGAGTGTTTCACACAACGTTACGAGGCTTGCGCCTAATGTACGCACCCAAATATACAAAATTCACAAAACACTAGATACAAAAAATACACATTTAATTATTTAATTTTTGAAAACCCCTAACAGTAGTTGTCAAACTAATCACTGTTTCATTAATAGTCATAAACTGCAGTTTTTCATAAACAATTATCATTTGTTCTATCAAGAGACGTCATGAATATGATTCTAGTTTATCTATCTTAATCGCTAACTAACTAAAAATGTTGTAATTTTTGAAACGGTGAACAAATTAGAGAAGATTATCCAATTTTTCAAAATTTGTAATCGAGTTCGTATCGGAATATGTATTATTGATTGCATCTTACAGGCGTAGGCCTCGTAGAATTATGTGAAACACCCAATATACAGGTATATTGGGTACTTTTGGGGTGGATAAAAATTATTGCTTTTTGAGGGGTTTTAGGCCTTTTTCGGTTGTTTGCTTTTGGGTAAACAGATAAATTTGTAAGATTCTGCCTTGTTTTTTAAGTAACATTTTATACTCTACTAAAATATCCTTAGTTGAAAAAATATAAACCAAATTATGTATACAAAGTGAACAAAAAGTATATATGGAACCAAGCGTTTTTTTAAATCCTTTGCTTTAAAAAAATATATATTCTTGATAAAACGTCATCAATAAATTTTTTCAAAAAATAAATAGTTTAAGCAAAAAACGTTTGGTTCCATACCTTTTGTTCACCTGGAATAAACATCATTAGATAGGTATTATTAAACGTAATAAAGGAAATTAGAAAAACACATTTCCATCATAAATTTATGTCATTGGTGTAATCACTTAACACAATTATGAGACAACATAATTGAATTCATTTTGGTCTTGTATAGTACAAAAAATAACAGACGTGTAAATGACCAGAATACACCGCCAAAAATTTGTCAACACTACAAAACTAATCCTATGGTACGATCAAAATATTGGTTTGATCACCTTTGACATAAATTCGCCCAGTTTCAAATTATCGAAATTTCGTTCATTTTTAAACATTATAGCTTCAGTTTTGTTATTATCATTGACAATCTATAACATTTTCTTATGCATCAATCCAACCAATTTGACTAATTTATACAAATCCACTGCTGTATTGCAAATCGTATCAATAGTAATTTTTATTATAACAGTATGGATAAGTGGAGTATTCAACCATTCTGAAATTGCATGTTTTCTAAATAAAATGATTGGATTTGATGAGAAATTTCAAAATGTAGGTCTACTAATAGACAGAAAACGAGAGAAAAGACATATTGGAATTCATCTTTTTATGAGAAGTTTTTTTGCAGTTGTATTACCTTTAGGGCTACTTTGGATTCTATTGGAAGACAGCATAAATGTATTACTTTTTATTTTTATCATTGTTAAATCAGGAGTGTCTTTTCAAACCATAGAATTTATTTCTATTATTAGGAATAGATTCGTTACATTGAATAGTTATATTGGAGAATCAGTTAGCAAATATAAAAATGAAGAACTGGTATTACCACTATGTAAATCATGTGATCTACACCATCGACTATCTAAATTAATTACACAATTCAATGCAACTTACGGATTAATACTTTTATTCATGTTTAATTCACATTTTCTTTTTATTGTTATGTCAATTTTTTCCATGTCAGCTTATTTAATTTCAAACCCAATTATCTGGAACCGCATCATGTTGTTAACGTTTTGGAGTGCATTTTGTGTGATCGATGTTTTATACATTTGTAATCAGTGCTACACAACTGTTGAAGAGGTAAAGTTAATAGGTAACAATCAAAAGATAAGAAGCAAAATTATAAATATCAGGCTAAAAGAACTAAAAAAATTATTCATAAAGTTCAAAGTGAGAATATTGCCGTCATGGATGTTATCGACATGTTTTCACAGCAAATAGAAAGTCACAAAATAAGTTTCACGGCAGCAGGATTTTTCCCAATTGATCATACTTTACTTTTCACAGTAAGTCTCCGTCTATTGCAAATCATAACTAATAAAAATTATATTTTAGATTGTTGGTGGCGTTACTACCTACTTCATAATAATGATTCAGTTATCGTCGTCTTTGTTGTCAAACCCAAAAAATTAGTAAAACAGAATAAACAGCTAATTTCACATATGATTAGAAAATAAATAATTCAAATGTATTGATTGTGATTAATTTAAATACATTATCTAAAACAATAAAATGTTTGATTGCTTGATTAGTCGTCAGCATAGACATTATAAAAATGTCCGATTTCCAAAAACCAATAAGGAATGAATTGTTCCAAAAATTCGTCAGCTCTATCAGAATTTTGTTAATCAAGAGCCGTATTTTTGGCCTCGTTACTTTCACACCTGATCAATCAAATTTCCGGCCTTCAAATCGCCGAATTTTTTTCAACATTGTATTTATTTTTATTTACCTACCAATAATTTTGTACTGTATATACATAACTGCATTTTCCGAAGATCTTTACATGATATATAAAACCACCAATATCATAATCTTGGGCTTGAATGTAGTTTACGTTGTAACATCATTGATTTGTGCAATAACAAAACGCGATATGTTTGTCGAGTTTTTATTGAAACTTGTTGATTTTGATACAAAGATCCAAACAATGAACATTAAAGTGAATTACAACAAAATCCACAGAAAAATTATGATCCCTTGTTTGGTCAGGATTGGTGTTTTAACTGTGATTATTAGTACTTTGGCAATTATGGCTAATTTGAATGGCGATGAGATGATCGTGGAATCTATGGCATATATTCTGCTAGTGATGAATTCAGCTGTTTGCCATCAAAGCATCGAACTGGTCAAAATGTTAAAAATCCGTTTTGTAATTTTAAACAAGCAGATAAATAATTTGATCGACTATTTCCAAAAAAATAAAATTAGTACCGTAGAGATGAAAAGTACTAACAAGCAATTAAATACACTGAATAAGATTTGTGCCCTACACCACCATTTATCCAAAATGATAAAACTGTTTAATGACACATTTGGGATAGTTCTACTTCTTATGTTTGGAGTGAGTTTTGTTGTTATCGTCATTATGACATTTTTTTTCACTGGTATAATCCAGGCGGGCGAATTGTATTTTATGACTTTACTAAATCCAATTTTGTCAACTATAACATTTATTATTGATGTTGTGTTTGTTTGTGATGTAAGTTATTCGACTATAGAAGAGGTATATTAGGAAATTTTCTTTAAAAAAATCTACAAGTTGCACTTTTAGGCAAATAAAGCAGGAGAACTGATTCATAAAATTGAGACAGAAGATCACGATATCAGAGACGAAATTGAAATGTTTTCTCTACAAATTGCCAATGAACAAGTGGAATTTAATGCAGCTGGGTTTTTTCCAATTAATTATACTTTAGTTTTCTCTGTAAGTTTTTTTTCATTCATCAAAAACTTATATGAACATCAAAACAAAAACTAAGTATACGAGTATAGAGTTTTATTTTAGATCCTTGGGGGTGTTACCACTTACATCATCATATTAATTCAATTAGCCGCATCACTCGCTGAGTAATAATGGCTGGAATTTGTTAAAAACATATTTTATGCTGCAAAGTTGGTAGATACTACAAAAATTTCTTTGGTTTTCTACTAGATGCTAGAGTTCAAGCATTTTTTTGTGTGGTGTGTAAATAAATAAAACCAAAATAATTTCCTAAATAATTTTATTAAATAATATTACAACCTATTTTGAAATAAGTACTGCTTAATTAATTTTCTGGCCGGCTCAGGTCGACCTTTAAATGAATGTTAAAATAATTTTTCACCAAAGCACATCAACTTACCTAACTTAAGTTCAATGTACAAAAGTAACATTATTATATGTCCCGGCACTTTACATTTACTACTCATTTGCCAGATTTGTTTCAAAAGCGCTATGGCTTCATCTAGTTGGCCTCTAATTGTCTTAGCCACCGCGATGTTGTACTGCATCGTTGCAATCGCAGTAGGCAGATTATGAGGAAACCATTCTAAAAGCAACTTAATGAGCAAAAAAACATGAATTGTCACAAATCCAGACTTAGGGGTGGCGAAGTCTTAATCCGTCTGTCTTCACTTTCATCCCCTTTTGGCAATTCCAAATTAATATGTTTGACATTTTCAGGGTTCAAATGTTCCAAGGCTTCTGAAATTTTGTCTAATAAAACTAGTGCTTCAGCACAGTACAAATGACCAAGTAATCTAAAATTTCATTTAAGTAAAAAATAAACAATTTAAGAGGAAACAAACTTATGAGCGCCTGATAATCGCGGTTGTTGCAAAAGATTTTCCGCATGTTCTAGTGCGAGAATATAGTCGCCTAAACAAAGGGAGACGTATGCACTTGCAGCCAGAATACTGTTACGGAGGCTCATTACACTTTCGGGGGACAAAGGAGAAGAGGGAGCGGGACTGGGGCTACAGGATGAGACAGGGGGGATTCCCCCAGGTATCAAAAAAAGGGGAATAGGAGATGATACTGTATCAGAAGGAAGCAAAGTGGAAGCATTACGTAAACACAATGAGGCAAATTCGAGGGATGGTACAGGGACGGCGTATGATTGACTTTCAGTACTAAAAAATTTTTTTATTGAAGCAAAGCTGATGTTGTTTTTACCTGTATTTTTTATCTTTGGATACGTTTGTCGTAAGAACGACTTTTTGCTTGTCTTTAGAGCCAATAACGTCAACTACGATTTCTTTTTGTTTTCTTTGAATATCAAAATCAATTTCGTTTGACTGAAGTGAAACATAATTAATACAAAAAAATGTTTCAAAAAAGCAACTAACTTATTTAAATTAAAGAAAAACAACACTTTTGCAACTCCTTACCTCTTTAGTGGCCATGATACAGCACTCGGCCAACCGCATCCACAACCTCGCGTTCCTGTGATACCTCCTCACTGCAATTATCAAACAATCAAACGCCTGCACCGGCCTCTTAGCATGAAGCAGAGAAACCCCCAAGTTATACATTAATTCGTGGTATTTTGAGCCCCCCAGTGTATATAAAAATTTGTCATCCAATCCCTTGTCTTTCTTTGCATTGTTCGTCAGAGCTATATCCTCCTTTAAAGCTAGTTGAAAATAGTGACAAGCCAGGTTGGGCTTGCCCATTGCGTGGTGGATCACACCCATATTGTTGTAAAACATCAAAGTTGACGATTCACCGCTATCACTAAACAATTTAAATCAATGCAAAAAAATACACATTTAAATTATACTTGTAAACAAGATAATCGGGTGGTACAGCAGCTAGAAGTTTTTGGGCCTCAATCAAGTTTCCTTTGAGGTATTCTAAATTAGCTGCTAGGAACAAGGCTCGAAAATTTTGTTTGTCTTTTAACAAATTGCTGATTTCTTTGTTTGCGATTTCAAGATTGTGGTTCATTAAATAACAACGGATTTTATATTTTATAAGTTTTTTCTTAAATTCTTCCATTGCTGGGTCTAGAGGCTGTGGTGCTTTCTTGTCTTTTTCCTTAGCGCTTTTATCCAACAATTTGATATTTGGAGTCCCATTGATTAATTGATTTTCTAAGTAATTTATTAAACTGAGAGCTTTATCTGATTGACGCACACATAGTTGTAGTTCAACAGCAAAAAGACTAACTTGTTTAGCCAATGCGTCATCTAGAAAAAGGTAAATTAAAAACAAAGATAGACACGCTGGGAAAATTGTACCCATTGGTTCAATAAATTTGTACACTCTATCCATTATGTAAATAGCATTAGTATATTGTTGTTGGTGATATAACAGAATCGCTTGATTATAATGAACAATGCATTGGTCCACATCATCCAATTTGTCGAGACGTATCTTAAACTAAAAATTAATTAACTTTATAAAAAAAAACGTTATAAAGACAATTATACTTGATTGCAAATAGAGGTTAGGTTCTTTTGAAATGTTTCACTCTTCTTAAAATCGCTTTTGCAATATTCCACAAGAGCTTTGTTATGAGCTACTTTAAAATCATTAATTCTATTATCCAACTTATTAATAAATTGTAAAGCACCAGCATAATTATTTCTACAAAAGGGTAAATAAAAATAAGATACTTTTCGAGATCTTTATACATACTTTTTAAACTCATTTAAAGCTTTTTGTGCATATTCTTGCTCTTGGTCCGTAACAATGTCTACAGCTCGTTCAAACTCTTCTTTCTCAGCCATTGTATTTATTTTAATACAAGCACTATTTCTTCTTATTCACAAGCTTCTCACAAAGTGAGGTTATGTAATAATAAATTTAAAACTATTTTATTACTTTCTGATTTTCACTGGCATCACACTAAAGAGTCTATGGACCCTGAACCGTAAGACTTATTTTTATGATCTTTGCATTTATATTTCTAATTAAAAAATTAATTGTTGATTTTTTGACATTAAAAGTGTTGATACTCAGTGGCGACTCGTGAAGTAATAAGATATCAAACATTTAATAAACAAAAAAAATAAGTGTTTCTCGACTTTTACTGGCTTCCCAAATATATGTGCATCAATTAAATACAATTATTAATAATCAGCAACTGTAAATTAGCCAGAAAAATATAAAATATCGAAAATATTAATATAAACCGAATCAACCTTCCTGGTAACACTCCTAGTTTTTTTTCTTTACTCCCTATATCAAATTGACATTTAGCTGACATTTGCGAGGCAATTCGTGTTGCCTACCCGTTTATTTATTTAGTTCAAGATCGTGATTAATTTATTCCGTATGCTGTCGTATTTCTAAAATTAGTGCCAGAAACAGATTTTTTCGAATTGCACAGTCATACGGCATCGTTCAAACAAATCTCGGCGAATAATGGAAGGGATAGCTACTCCGGTCGCAGAGGGGCCTCCTGAAGAAGCACTTAAACCAATTGGATGTTCCCATTACAAAAGAAAATCCAAATTCGTGGTAAGATTTTGCTAGAACAAGTTCGTCCGGCCAAACGTTGTTTATTGAGTTTAATTGAATTAGCGCCAATTATTGACAATCACGTCGTTTTCTTTTCAAGACTCCATGCTGCAAGAAAGTGTACACTTGTCGATTTTGTCACGATGAAAAGGAAGATCACTCAGTGAATAGGAAAGAAGTCACAGAATTAATTTGCACGATATGTGAGAAAAGGCAGCCTGTACAAGCCGAGTGTCAGAATTGTGGAATCAGATTTGGAAAAGTACGTTCGTGGAAATTTATTGTAATGTATTTTAAGTGACTGTTTCAGTACACTTGTTTGGAGTGTAATCTTTTTGACGATGAAGACAAGAATCAGTTCCATTGCTCTGGCTGTGGGATTTGCAGAATTGGGGGCTCTGACAAATTTTTCCATTGTGAAAAATGCAACATGTGCCTACCAATTCAGCTCAAAAATGGACACAAAGTAAGAGCGAAAAAAAGCAAAATCATGTATAGTTAATTCCATTGTTAAAAAAATTCTACGCCTGCGCACGATAATATGTAGACTAGATTTCAAAGTTGTAGGCTTAATTTTTACAGTGTGTGGAGAATGTATCACGCGCCAATTGTCCTGTCTGTCTTGAGGACATCCATACTTCCAGAATTCCATGCCATATTCCAATGTGTGGCCATCTGTTACACCGCACTTGTTTCAACCAGTTACTAAAAGCGGGACATTATGCTTGTCCCATATGTCAGACGTCCCTTATGGATATGACCCAGTTGTGGAAATATCTTGATAACGAAGTTGCTCATACGCCAATGCCGCCACAGTATAACTGTTATTTGGTGCAAATTTTGTGCAAGGATTGTCATAAGGTGGTATATTAAAATTGTATGACTTTTAGTAACTTTGACCCATTTAGGAAGGAACTGTAAAGTTTCATGTGATTGGTTGTAAGTGTTTTCATTGCGGTTCCTACAATACATGTCGAATTAAGGGGCCATTCAAGCCGTCAGGTTTGTATTAGACAGTTTGAAAGAATGATTGCAATGTTATTCTTTAGGAAGGAATAGGCAAAACAGTTCAAGTCAAGCACAGTCTCTACAGTATGAAAACGACGATGAAGGTCCATCTAGTTCAAGTGCTCAAGAATCATGAAATTATCATTAGACGTCTATTACATTACCATTAATTATTAAGTCAATTTGGCAGGTTTCAACATATTCTTCGCATTTCATATTTAATTATTCGATCAATTAGTACTGTTAGATGAATAAGTTGTACAAGTTTGTGTGATTTTATTTTTATATGATCATTTACAAATACTCAATATGTTGATGTTGTGAACAATAAATAGATGTCTTTTTATTGATTTGTTATTGTTAAATTGGTTTAGGTTAATTATATTAGATTGAACAAATTATTTGTATTATAGGGAAGGAAGTGAGTGGATGTCCCAGACAAACTCATTTCAATTTCAATATTAAAGCGAAACAATAAAAAATAACTTTAATGTTTGATGTTTCACTAACATTTTCATTTTTTTATGTCCCAGACAGTATTTCATGTGATCTTTAATAAAAGGAAGTTCTCAAAAAAACATGAAATAATAGCGAAGACAAAAAATTTTGATTACAAATTATATAATAATATAATTATTATAATTGAGATTCAACCAGTAATTGGTTTATTCATACTTAAATTGATAAGAAAACTGCCCATTACAAAACAGTTCTCTACAAATATAATACCCTTTACAAAATTAAAGTCAAATCAATGATTAGTATTTATGTTCGTTTGTAACAATAATATGTTTCAAAATCTTGTAGAAACAAACATCTTTCTCTATTCATCAGAACAGAAGTCTTTAATAAACCTAATATCCGAATTTAGGAAAAACCAGATTTTCAAATGATTATAAATTACAAATACTTCTCTCAAAGCAAAGTTTTATGATTTGTTAACTTGAAGATAGCTTTCCGTGTAGCTTGTTAAGTGATACTTAACATCAAATTTATGGTTAATTTAGTGATTCAAGTATTCTTTCTGTTATGTAACACTAACACAGCAGTTTCTATTTGCAGAGTTGAATGTAACACCGACTAGTTAAACAAAAAAAATTGTATAGATACTTAATTATTAAATATTACAATTGTGAAAACTCAGGCATAATAATAAAAAAAGAAAGGTTTTCTATGCAACATTTCAAACTAAAATTGTGGTGTAGGTACCTTTAAAACTTTAATTACTATAATAATTAAGAAAAAAGGAAAATTAGCTAGCAAAAGTTCTGTGGCAGGTCAGTAACAATTCGGTTATTGAATTGAACCTTGAATTGCAGAGTTTAAGAATTTCAAAAGCAGTTTACGGTTCAAATGAATATTTAATAATTTTTGTGTTGTGGATAATGCTCAGTTTTAGTTAAGTTTTCTTATTAAAAATACTTGTGTTAATTAATCTCAAATAAATAGGTATTTATTGGTTTATATTTATTATTATAAGACTTATTATAAGACTTAATGTGCGACTTTTTCAATTTTATTTGCACAATAACTGATTTAATCACTATAGGGTTAAGTCAGCAGAACAGTAAAGACGCGATCCCAAGAAGAGCGACAAAATGACTTTTTCCATTTGATTCGCCTGACATTCAAGGAACAAGACGAAGCGAATCTGACGAGAGATATCTAATCGCAACCAGAAATGTGAAGGTTGTTTTGGTCACTCATCACTTCTACAACTCATTTTCTTCGAAGGTGGTTGCAAAGAAATAAAGAATTAGCGCGTCTTGTAAATTTTCCTGGTATTTTAAATTGGCATAAAAACTGGAAAATTTACGAGCGAATTATTAAAATCATTCGAAGCCCAAGTGGCCAAATTGCGTCCTCTCGGCCGTGACCTTATAAGGTGACCAGCCGAAATGTCTTCGGACATTCAATAATAAGTCGGTTAGATAAAACAAAGCGTGATTTATTTACTTTATTTATAAAATCCGAGTCCGCACCTGTGCCGGGTCAGACATTTATGGTTTGATATTTCACTAAAACACTATTTTATGTCGGCTGGCTTGAATCCGTAATGAAGATCCGGACATTTATGGAATTTCGATTGTGTTCCCACGTAAAAAATCGACGTTTATTCTCTCATATTTTTCATAAATCCGCAATTATAGTCGCATTGTGTTTGTTATGATGATTAATAATGTTGTCAATAACCGAACAAAATTTCATTGACGACGGCCATGAGCCTTCAACGACTATTAACGCTCAATGGCGTACACATTATTTCAGCTTTTCAGTATATGAATTGATGTGATATTGAGCCGAGATGTGCGGGAGTATGCAAATCTCTTTTCTAGAACTTTTCATCTCGGATTTTCATGAATCATATTAAACATATTTGTACGGAAATGTAGGTGCAACCGGAGCAACTTCGGTGAAACCGGAAACAAGGTCTTTATCTCTTCCCCTTAACCGTGTTTCGAGGAATTATGTCAATCCTTATTTTGCACTTGTACGCATTCACAAACTTCAACAACTTCAATCTTATTCTAATAGTTACTTTTCTTAAAAAATATTTTCAGTACCTACCTAAAAAGAAAATATTTTTTAGTCTTTAGGCAGTAGAATAATATGTAAATTAAAAATTAATTATCCTTTGTGTTATTACAGTGAAAGAAAAACAAGTCTTTAATTTAATTTAATAGCATAGAAACTTTTAATAATAACACCCATTTTTGCGACAAAAGTCGTGACGTTGGTATTATTTACGGTAAAAAATTACAACCATATAATCTTTTCCTTAGCCACATAATTCTGATAGTGTAGGTACTTTTTTTGAAATTTAAAAATTGCATAATAAAAAATATGCTTTGTGTAGATATTTTAAAAATTAAATTTGCCTTGAATTAGATTTGATTAACGTTGTATTACATCCACAGCTTGAAACTACTCGTATAAATGTCATGGTAATGGTTTAAATTAAACAAAAGTAATTTAGTTTTTTCAGTAATATCTAATGTGATTGATTGCAAAAAAGATTACACTTGATTATCTATAACTCGAGAACTTACTAACAATAAAAAAGCTTCTCTATGAAAAATGAATCAATATAAATAAACAAACAAGTAAAAAAAAAGTTATGAATCAAAAATTCTGTCTGGAGGGATTTTATTAATGAATCTTCTAGAATTCTTTCATAATGTTCAAACTTCTTTCGACAAGAAGAACTGAAGATAAATTTTGAAATAATTTATTCAAATCGGTTCGAATATCGTATTCGGTAATAAATTTGACTTGGAACTGAATTAATGATTATGATAAAAACAAGTTTGTCACATTTTTAAAGCAATTATATGTTAAGCAAATTTGTTACCCAGCTGGTTTTTTTGATATTCCTTTTTATAACTGTTCCAATAGGCGTATGTATGTACATGACTTAATAAGTTTACTACAAAACTACAAAACCAAGAAACTGTTTCACTTACCTTAATATAAAAATTATATTCTTTTTGAAAAAGGAGTTACAATTTTTACGTTAACACGAATATGTTTATTCGTTTATTATAAGTGAGTTAGTCATAAAGAATCGCGAGAAATGATATAATAAAAGAGAAATTGAAGTTGTAAATTATTTTACCACAAACTCACAAATCACCATAAATAAAAAAATATGAATATAATTTACGAAGGTCATTAGTCTTAATTATCTAGAGGTTATAACAAATGACTGTTTTATAAAAAAAGTTGCATACAATTTAAAAAAAAAAACACAAACTTTTGTGAGAAAATTGACGAACCTTTTAGCTTGACATTCCCAAAAACCAGCTTCCAATATTTGTCAAGTAATATTCATCAATACGGAAAATTTTCCATAAAATAACACGGAATTTTCGGGTCCATTCATCCGTTGAATTTATTACACAATCGATCGCCATAAATCCAACAAAGAGCTTCCATAATATGAAAATATCGAACCGCTGATAAACGCACACACTGCTGAAATTCGTAACGTAATACCTGATATAATCTTATTACATTACGATGTCAATTGGTGAGTAAGAAAGTGTGAAAAGGTCTCACTTGAATGGTTTCTGGCTAAAGAATGGAGTGTCGATCTGTGATGATTAGATGGACAATAATTGACACAGTTTTTCAGTACGAAATCTCAAAGATGTGCTAAAAGACTTTGCGGTTTGATTGGAGTTCCTTTCGCCAGTATTTCCACATTGGTATCAAGGTTTCCAAATAAAAAAAAATATTTATGGACATGTTTCAATTATTTTGCGAGATGGGGATTGGTGCCAGGTAGCATTTTTTTAAAGGTGTGTTTGTTTACTTGTGGAGAAGTGGAAAAAAGTGTTATTGCGGTGATTAATTTATGGCAGGGGTGTCATCTTTTGACGAACATGGCCATTTAGTTGTTTACGTGTAAAATCTTGAATAATTTAAAATTTTAATACCTCTATTGTCAGGTATACCCACACCTTTTTCAGCAAAAAATCCCCAAAAATATGCCCAAAACTGCTGTAAAAATAAAATCAAAATCATTCAGAATAGATTCTAATTATTTTTTTAATATTTCACAATGTTATGTTTCACTGATTTCTTTTATAAAATATTAATCTAATGGACACAATACAATGTTGTTTATGTAATGTGGTTTACTACAATTTAAGATCGTTATTCTCAACAAAACTTGAGCATTTTTTCAATAAAACCAATAAGTCTGAAGGTTATATCCGATTGTCGTTTGTTATATAAGAAGTTATAGAAAATTTGGTAGTATTTTTATTGTACTCGTAATTCAGGAAATAAGAATAAAAATTGCACATATTCAAATTGTTTTTTATTCATTATCTCAATATCTGGACGCAATTTACAGATTCAATAGAATAGAAAAGTAAATAGGTATAATAAGACAACCTTACTGATTTGTTTAAGAAAAACTGACTAAACTTTAACACTATTAGGTAAGGATGGATTAATACCACAATTTATGAGACTAATAAAGCGAGAACGTAACAGACTAGTTATATTACAGTTTTGACAATTGTCAAATTTAATAGCATATTTTGTTATTAAGAGTAAAAGTGATAGTTTATGTGGCGAAGCTAAACATTTATAAAAATACACTGGCGGACACGGAATTTTGGACGATTTGTCATTCGACTGACATAAAAATGTAAAACGGGCCATAGGCAACTAACCTTGCTTTCGGTTTTTGTAATTTTTATCCTGATAGCTAGAGAAAAAATCACAACAAATCAAAATAATTTATTGAACTATATAAAAGCACGTATTACTGGCATTATTGTTTTGGAAAATTTATGCCAAAAATAAATTTCAGCTAAAACTTTCAAATTTTAGTTTTAATCGTCAATCATAATGACAATAAAGCGTGGATACATTGACATTTTTTGAACTGACATAAATTTGATGTTCAAAATTCCGTGTCCGCCACTGTAATTCAGCTGAGAATAAAAGATTTTATTTTTTAAATTTTGATAAAACG